GTGTGTTCCTCCTTGGGTCCAACTTCTTTGGGACTCTCTAGGCTTCCTGGACTTCCTGGAAGTCTATATTCTTCGCTAGATTGGGGAAGTTCTCCTTCATTATTTGTTCAAATAAGTTTTCATTTTCTTGCTCTTGTTCTTCGCCTTCTGGCACCTCTGTATTTCAGATATTGGAACGTTTCAGGTTGTCTTAGAAGTTTGTAAGACTCTTCACTTTTTGGAATTCTTGTTTCTTCATTCTGTTCTGGTTGGATGTTTATTTTTTTTGTTTTTGTTCCAAATTGTTGCTTTGAGTCTTGATTTTCCTTCCTGTCACTGTTGGTTCCCTGAATATTTTGCTTTATTTTCTTTTGGGTATCTTTCATTTCTTTTTTCATTTTTCAACCAAGCTCCATCAGATCTGTGAGCATTTTGATTACCAGGGCTTTAAATTATCCATCAGATAGTTTGGTTATCTCCTCATTGTTTACTTCTCTTTCTGCTGTTTTGCTGTGTTCTTTTGTTTGGGCCATATTTCTTTGTCTTGGCATACCTGATAAGTTGTAAGGGGGCGGGGACTTAGGTATTCACCCAGGCAGGGCAACCCTCTTTGGTACAGTGCTGCACTGCCTATGGGGGTGGGGCCAGAGAGGGAACAATGCACCTCCCCTGCTCCCCTAGCATACTTTCCAACGGACTCTCATGTGAGACTTGGAGTTTCTCCCACCACAGGAAACGCTATAGTCCACTGTCAACTTTGAGTCTCAGTTTCCCCTTAAGTCAGCCCTGCCTGCACAGCCTGCTGCCTCGCTGTAGCCAGTCCTGCCCCTGAGATCCGAAGCCTTACCTTTCTCATTGTTTTGATTGATTTTTTTTTAATTCCTCAATTGTTGGAATTCCATGCAGTTTGATTTTCTGGCACTTCTGGTTGTTTATTGATTTTAGATTGGTTGTTATCCTCCTTTTGGTTGTACAAGGAAGCAGAGGTTTTCTACCTATGCCTCTGTCTTGGTCGGAACTTTCAGGAGCACCTAAATATATAAAGCAAATCATGATAGGCATAAAGGGAGAGATCAACAGTAATACAGTCAGAGTAGGGGACTTTAATACCCCATTGACATCAATGGATAGATCTTTCAGACAGAAAATCTACTAGGTAGTAACAGCCTTAAATGACACATTACACCAGATGAATTTAATTGGTGTTTTTAGAGCATCCCCCCTGACAAAAAAGTAGAATATATATTTTTTAAAGTATACATGGAACATTTTATAAGATAGACTGTACTTTAAGCCATGAAACAAATCTTAGTAAATTTAAAAAATTAAAATTATGTCAAGCATATTTATCGACCACAAATTACAAAAAGAAAACTAAAAAATACACAAACACCTGGAGGCTAAATAATATATTATTAAACAAGGAATGAATTAACAGTGAGATCAAGAAAGAAATAAAAGTTTCCTTGAAACAAATGAAAATTAATAGCAATGCAGGCCTACCTGAAGAAATAAGAAAAATCTCAAACAATTTAACCTTACACCCAAAGGAACTAGAGAAAGAACAATTAAGCAAAGCTAAAAGTGAGTAGAAGAAATGAAAGAAATAATAAGGATCAGAGTGGAAATAAATAAAGTATGGTCTAAAAAATGCAAAATATCAATGAAACCAACGGCTGGTTCTTTGGAAGGATAACCAAGGTTGATAAACCTTTTATCAGTCTCATAGAGAAAAAGAGAGGACCCAAAGAAATGGAATCACCAATGAAAGAGAAGTGGCAACTGACACCACAGAAATACAAAGGGTTGTAAGAAAACACTAAAAATACATGTCAACAAATTGGACAATCTGGAAGAAATGGATAAATTCCTAGAAACATAGAATCTCACAAAACTGAATCAAGAAATAGAAAATCTGAACAGATAGATTACTACCAACGAAATTGAATCAGTAATAAAAAATTTCTCAACAAACAAAAGTCCTGGGCTAGATGGCCTTACTAGTTAATTTTACCAAATATTCAATAAAGAACTTACATCTAAAACTATTCCAGAAAATTCAAGAGGAGTGAAGACTTCAAGCTCTTTTTACAATGCCAGCATTATCTTGACTCCAAAACCAGACAAAGATATTCCAAATAAAGGAAATTATAGGCCAATATTCCTGATGAACATAGATGCAAAAATCCTCAATAAAATATTAGCAAATGAAATTCAGCAATACATTAAAAAGATTATACACCATGATCAAGTGGGATTTATTCCTGGGCTGCACAGTTTGTTCAATATCCACAAATCAATTAATACCAAATACTAAATAAAAGGAAGCTATACCAAATAAAATGAAGGATATAAATCATGATTATATCAATAGATAACCATGAAAGCATTTGATAAAATACAGCATCCAGTTATGATTTTAAAAACAAAACTCTCAGCAAAGTGGGAGTAGAGGAAATATACTTCAATGTAATAAAAACCATGTATAACAAACCAACAGCTAATGTCCTACTTAATAGGAAAAGCTGAAAACATTTTCCTTAAGATGAGATCATGTTTTACATTTTAAAATCATCAAATGGGCTCACTTAAAACATGTCTGTTAACATTGTTCTCTAAGCAGCTATTTTGGTGCAGTTGCTGCAAAGACTAATATGTGAAAACCACATGAGTTACTTATTCAGTTGCCTATGTATAGATAGCCAGTTAGTTGTTTTGCCACTGTAAATAATAATACATTGAACATCTCTGAGCTTTAGTCTACAGCCTGCTCCGGGGCAGGATCTGACAGAGCAGGACTGGGAGGGCGCATATGGACTCCCTCCCTTTCTGTGTTCTCTGAGTGTCTATCACAGTGCTTCACTCTAAGGGATTGTTCAGGAATGGGAGACTAAAGGAAGAAAGGAAGCATAGGAAGGCATGGAATGGGAGTGGAGATGAAGCAGGACTGCAGAGCCAAATGTGGTTTCAGCTGGAAACATATGCAAATATCAAATGAATGAAATCACAAAATTTCTGATTTTTTTTTCTGATATAAAATGCTTGCTATTGATATCAAGGAAAGAGTACCAACAATACCGAAAATTACCTCTGAAAGATGAGTTTTTACTTTTGAAAATATTTTTAAAAATGGGTACATTATATATTATTCTTAAGAAACTATTAACTCTGGCATTCATAGTTGTTAAACCTATCATGAAAATCCTTATCTAAATCTCAGACATGCTAGTGACTTGATTTTTTAGTCCCTTTTTCATTTGCTCCTCCTTGATAATCATAGATATATTTGAAGACTTTTAAATCTTCAACTTGGATAATTATAGTTTTATTAGTTTTTATACTAGATTTTTTAATACATCTTTAAATATCATCCTATATGGCAGGGGTGTCAAACTCATTTTCACTGGGGGCCACATCAGCCTTACAGTTGCCTTCAAAGGGCTGAATGTAATTTGAGGACTGTATAAATGTAACCACTCCTTAACTAGGGGCAAGGAGCTCAGTGCTGCCACCTGATAGAAACAACGTGCCAGGACGGATAAACAAGGTAGAGAGCCAGATTCTGCCCACGGGCCTTATGTTTGCCACCTGTGCTATATGGAGTAGACAGGTAATTAGAGCCATTCGTGTGCTGTTGACAGGGAAGTAAGAAAACCAGGTGAATTTTAAAACAGGGTTTTATATTCCTTTAATACATCATAGTGGTACTAAAATACCTCATAATTTTGTAATCACATAAGCATTTATCTTCAACAATTTAAACCTTGCCTTTTGAAATTAATATTTAAAAAGGAGTCTTCTAAAATTGTGAATTGATATTTTATTATTCAAATTTTTATTAAACTTAAAATGTTTATACTGAAATATTTGCATATTTCTGTAAAAGGGTATATTATATTGTTAAAACAAATTTTAAAATGTACAATTGAAAAGTTGAGTCCCATGTTGTTTTAGAACCCTCCCCTTATTTTATTTTCAAAATTTTAAAAATTCTCTGTAGGTCTCTTCAGTATATTTTACAAATATCTATCTTCTTAACATCATATACTTTTCCTGAATAAGGTCATCTATTTTTACTTCAAGTGTATTTACCTAGATCTTTCTTCTAAGTCCCCTGGGTGCCTCAAATTTGATATGTCCCAAACTGAAGACAGTGGCCCTGACCCTTTCCTCTCTCCTGACTCAGTAGTCTACTCTGTCACCTGTTTTCCCATCCTCATAAAGAGCAGCACTGGAACATGGAAGCACGAAAAATCCCGGATGCCAGTCCTCCCTGAGATCAGCACATCCAGTCACTCACCAAGTTTAATACTTTCTACCTGCTGCCATTTTTTATATCAGTACTTTAATACCTACAGTAATTTACTTTCTCACTTTCAATTTTGAAATACTCTTTTCTAGTTTTGCTCAACTTAAATTCATCTTTACTTTGCTGCCAGAGTGACTGCTTTAAAATATATCTGTGATGATGCAACTCCTCTGCTTATTTAATGGCTCTCCATTACATTTGCGCAAAATTCATATGCTAGCATGACACTTGCCTACTTTGGTTAGGCCCTGATTCTCCAGTTTTATCTCTCCATCCCGTTTTCACCATTCCATTTTTACCACATTCCTTTTGTACCCTCACTTACCTCATGCTTTTGCTCATGCTGCCCTTTCTAGGATGCCCTTCACTCTCTTCCTCTGCACTTAGTACATCTTTCATGGTGTATCATTTCCTGAGCTTCCCAGGTACAACAGACTGTTGTCTTCTTTGTGCCCTTACTGTAGTTTATTCACTTCAGTTGTAGACCTAGCAAATGATATTTTTTTATTTTCCTATATCTCTATCCCTACTAGAATATTGGGCAAAATCTTTTACTTATATTTCTAGCTTCTCCCAGGTTAGTGCCTATGATTTCATAGATACAGTAAATCTTTGTTGGCCTGCTGACTGAGTGACTGAGTGACCAAAAAAGTGCATGAACATGACTTTTTCTAAAGTTGGGTTTTTATTTTGTTTTGCTTTGTTCTTATAGGAAGAAGCAACAAAGCCAGCAATTAAAATAAAAGGAAATAGTATTGATATTACTAAAAGTGCTCCACAAAACCAAACAAATAATAACAATTTGACTTATGTTGATGGAGAATATAAAAACAGTAGTAGTGGTAAGTTAGTGACTATCTACGAATGTTTTCCTTTGTTTAAATGCTGGGATAAACAAATCTAATTTCTATAGAACCAAATATCCATTTTCAAAGGGTTTTTTTGTTTTTATTCAAAAGTATCCCAACTGCTACCATTTTTTTCTTCCTGCAAATGCTTCAAACCTCTGAAAATCTTTTCTGTTACTTTTATTTTATTGAAATATTCATAAATGGGGATAGACCTGTATATGTATTTAAAAATCATAGTAAAAATTTTCACATTAATTATCTGTGACTATATTTTATAGATAAAATGGCAACATTAGGATTAGGAGAAGATGAAGATAGAGAATCACTTTGGGACTCTGAGGTACAGTTTTTATTATTACTATTATTATTATTATTATTATTATTATTTTAGATGAAAGGTATGCTTTGACCTTATGTTCTCATCTCTGTATTTGCCCATTAAAATTATTTTTTTATATTTTAACCTATAATTCATAAAATAACTATGTGCTGAATACAGGGTGGGGTAAAAGTAGGTTCACAGTTGTTCGTATGGAAAATAATACAATAATAACTTATATTACAAGAATTAAACTCTGTTTCACCTACTCACAACTATAAACCTACTTTTACCCCACTTCTTATAATAATATTGCATAGTACAATTCCACTAATTTCAAGATTCACTTAATAAAATCAGTGTTGTGTATTATAAATAACTAAGACTTTGAAGCCATAAATAATCAGTTTGGGTTCTGAAGTTAAGTTTACCTAAAATCTAAAGAATTATTCCAGGTCAACCTATGGCCAATGTATGTTACTTTGGTTTATATGGGTGTGTAAAACTCCTAATGAAATTCAGAGAGAAACAGTTTGGATTGTAGTTTTTATAACTTGGCACTTGAAAAGATAATGCCTGGGACTTCAAAGTATTGTTCAATTTGAATTGTCAAGTAGATGTGCAAGGAACATTTCCAGAGAAAGAAAAGCATGGTGAATAGTAATAAATATGTAGGATTATAACAATTTGGCATAGTAGTGTTTTGAGAAGTAGCGACTGTTTTCAATAATTAAAACAGCATGCATTGAGGACTTTATGGAAAACATTCTTGTGATAACTTATGTACAATGACCTGATGAGCTGATCTAAAGGAACAGCTGTGGGAAGAGATACAAAGAGCCTGATCTCTTGGATATAGACAACTGCTGCCTAACAGTACAAACACAGTATTTGAAGTCTAAGATCATGTCACTTCGTAGCTATGGGATCTTGGGAAAACTTGTTTTAACATGTTGAAATATCAGTAACCTCATTCATAACAATGATACTAATACCTACATTTCACGTATGCGTGATGAACAAATGTGGTAACAAATGCAAAAAACACTTTGTAAGCTATAAAGGGTGCTATGGAAATGTAAGACTGCAGTGATCCCAGTGGTGTTCAGTGACTTACTAAATATTGAGGACACTTTATAAACCTGAAGGGCAATAAAATGGCAGTAGTGTTGAGAAAAAAATGGCAAAGTTAGAAAGGGAATGTAAATTTCTAATATGGGGGGTATTAAGTTTTGTAGACTATTAACGGAGCTATCCTATAGGTATGTAGTGCTTTAGTACTTGAGGCCTTCTTGATGAGGTCATACATATTTTGACCTTAATTAAATTTCTGTTATTAAATACCAACTATGTGCTGGACAGTCAGATGCTGAATGTGCAAGTTGAGGAGTTAGGCTGTAGTGAGTGGGAGGGGTAGAAAAACAAGTAAACAACAACCCATTATGAGTCACTATAAGTGCTTCATATAAAGAAAATGGAGAATATTAGGTTAGAGAATATTGGGGGAGTTTTACTTAGAATGGGCATGGGAATGGAATCTAGGTGGTCAGAAAAGAACTTTCTGAGTGTGACACAAACTTCCAAGTGAAGGAGCCAGTCACGTGAAGGTCTAGGAGAAGGACTTGTTGGACAGAGAGAACAATGGGTCACATCTGTTCATCATTTTACTCTAACGTCTAGGAATGACCTAGAAGCAGGAGGCAGGGTAACCATCATACCATTTTCATTATTGTGGTTGTGTGTTGAAATGAATCAAAGTGTGCCTAATAAGTACCTGGCACATTTTAGATGGTTAATAAATAAATGTTTTTACTCTTCCCTTATTAAATCTTGCTATAAGGTTTTGAAGGATTACATAAGAATATGTGCAATGTGTTGCAATTATTTAAACATAATTTAAAGAAAAAATTTTCTTATGTTTTGCCATTTTATTCAGCCATTTTCCCTATCAAAAATTTTATCAAATAATAGCTTTGTCAAAGCCTTAGAGTGCACAACTAAAAGCAGGTTTTACAGTGTTTTATTTATACTAACACAACACATTCCAAAGTTTCTTATTACGTCAAGTATCTTTTTTCACACTAAAAAAAATTCTGTCAGAAATATTTAAATTTTTAGCAAGTATACTTACTACATAATGTGTTTTAAAAGTTTTTTTTCCACTAAAATGTCCTCTTATTTTGGTGGAGAATGCAAAGTAGAAGTAGGTATTTCAAAGTCAGTTCCTTGTTGAAATGTACATATACATCAGTATTTTGACTGGGATAGTGTTTTCTCTGGCTTTTCAAGCTCAATATACAACCATTAGCCAAATTAAGATGGAAAAAAAGCTTGATCTAGAGAGCATATGTGAAGTTGTCTATTTAAATGTTTTATTCAACACTTACTTCTCTAAAAGTTTTAAGTCCAAATGCTTTTGAAGTAGGAAATTGAGATATTTTCTTAGAAAGGTGTTAGGAAATCTTTGTGTAACTCATTATTGATATAAATTTTAGGACAGTTTCTCTGCAAGTCTTCCACAGAAGTATGTCGATCATTTATCTGAAGCTGTAGGTTCAGGTAAGAGATCTGAAATTACACTAAATGGACAAGTAGAATGTAAGAGCTGTATTTTATAAAAATGTTCTTTGACAAAATGTTTGCCTGCATGTTTTTTTATTGTTGTTCAATAAAACATGAACACTAATATATTATAATAGTAAAAAAATAACCTGTTAAATGCAGAGTAAGTAAAAAGAGAAGTGAGAATAAGTTGTAAATCTTATTAGGTGTCAGCAAAGAGACTAAATTGAGAGTGCCACTGCAGGAGCTAAATTATTTGTTCCATTTCAAGCTGCTCTGAGACCTGAGGAAAGTGAGATTATAAGGTAGAGGCAAATAAAATAAGGGGTGAAGAATGAGAAAGGCAAATATATACGGGGTAAATGAAGGAAAAAGAAGCAGCTATATAGGGTGAGGCAAAAGCAGGTTTATTTACAGTTATGGGTAATGAAACAGAAAGTTTATTCTTCTATTATTATTTTTAATTATTGTATTACTTTTCATATAAATGACTGTAAACCTATTTTCGCCCCTCCCTGCACAGTGGGAGATGATAAAATAAAAAATTCTTTAAAAAAAAGGAGGGACATTACCTGGTGTGGCTCAGTGGACTGAGTGCCAGCCTGGGAGCCGAAGGGTCACCAGTTCAATTTCTAGTCATGGCACATGCCTGGCTTGCCACCCCTGTCCCCAGTGGGGGCGCTCAAGAGGCAACTGCACACTGATATTTCTCTCCTTCCCTTTCTCCCTGCCCCCCCTAAAAATAAATAAAATTATTATTTATAAATAAATAAATAGAAGAGCAGAGTGTTTGAAATATAAGAAGAATATAGAGAGAGCTTCTGGCACCAAAACTTGTTAGAGAAGTACAACAAAATTTCCCTACTCTTATTCTTTTCCTCACCATTGGAAGGCATTATGGATCATATAGAGCTGTATTTTATCTACCATAGATGAGCATAAGCATACATGGTCAGCTCTAAATGTCTATACTCTGAAGTCATATAAAATGTTGCTAATTCATTGGATAGTTGGTATTCTGTAGTCCAGAATGAGAGCACTGGAAACAAGGAGAGAGAAGGGTCAGTTATGGGGAGATCAAAGAAATTATAACCTGATGAAAAGTCCAGTAAAAAGATTATGACTTCTTTTTTTAAAGTATATTTTATTGATTATGCTATTACAGTTGTCCCATTTTTTTCTCCCCTATATCCTCCTCTACCTTCTACCCTCTTTCCCTCCAGCATTCCCACCCCTTAGTTCATGTCCATGGGTCATACATGTAAGTCCTTTGGTTTTTCCATTTCCTATACTTTCTTAATCTCCTGCTGTCTATTTTGTACCTACCAATTCTGCTTTTTATTCTCTGTACCTTTTCCCCCATTCTCCCCACTCCCCCTCCCCACTGATAATGTTCCCTATGATCTCCATTTCTGTGGTTCTGTTTTTGTTCTAATTGTTTCTTTAGTTTGTTTTTGTTTTTGTTTTAGGTTCAGTTGTTGATAGTTGTGAGTTTGTTGTCATTTTACTGTTCATAATTTTGATCACTTTTTCTTAGAAAAATCCTTTTAATATTTCACATAATAAGGGCTTGGTGATGACGAAGTCCTGTAACTTGACCTTGTCTGAGAAGCACTTTATCTGCCCTTCCATTCTAAATGATAGCTTTGCTGAATAGAGTAATCTTGGATGTAGGTCCTTGCCTTTCATGACTTGGAATACTTCTTTCCAGCCTCTTCTTGCCTGCAAAGTTTCCTTTGAGAAATCAGCTGATAGTCTTATGGGAACCGTTTTGTAGGTAACTGTCTTCTTTTCTCTTGCTGCTTTTAAGATTCTCTCCTAATCTTTAATCTTGGGTAATGTAATTATGATGTGCCGTGATGTGCACTTCCTTGGGTTCAACAACTTTGGGATTCTCTGGTCTTCCTGGATTTCCTGGAAGTCTTATTTTCTTTGCCAGATTAGGGAAATTTTCCTTCATTATTTGTTCAAATAAGTTTTCAATTTCTTGCTCTTTTTCTTTGCCTTCTGGCACCCCATGATTTGGATGTTGGAACATTTTAAGTTGTCCCAGAGGTTCCTAAGCCTCTCCTCATTTTTTTTTGAATTCTTGCTTCTTTATTCTGTTCTGGTTGAATGTTTATTTCTTTCTTCTGTTCCAAATCATTGATTTGAGTCCTGGTTTCCTTCCCTTTGTGGTAGGTTCCCTGTATATTTTTCTTTATTTCACTTTGCATAGCCTTCACTTCTTCCTTTATTTTGCATCTATACTCAGTCATTTCTGTGAGCATCCTGATTACCAGTGTTTTGAACTCTGCCTCTGATAGGTTGGCTATCTCTTCATCACTTAGTTCTTTTTCTGGAGTTTTGATCTGTTCTTTCATTTGGGCCATATTTCTTTGTCTTGTGTGTGCCTGTTATGATGTAAAGGGCAGAGCCTTAGGTATTTGCTAGGGCGGGGCAACCCATTTTGCTGAACTGTGGTGCTATATGTGAGGGAGGGGTCTGAGAGGGAACAGTGCTGCTTGCTCAGTTCTCTGCAGCTTTCAGTCACTTCCCCTGCTACCCACAAATGAATTGTGCCTTCCTGGTGCTGATTCCTGGGTGGGTGGGATCATGTACATTTTAGGATCTGTGGTCCCCTCCAACAGACTCTCCTGTGAGACTGGCAGTTTCTCCCACTGCCACAACCTCTAGGTTTTTAGAGCCAGAAGTTTTGAAGCTTTCTTTCCCAGCACTGGAACTGTGGGTTGCACGATCTGTCTCACTCCCCAGTTGTTTTTCCTGGTTTATTCACTCAGAAATGTGTGACTGCCCTGTCCGCCTGCTACCACCTTGCCTTGTGTCCTCTCTGTCCCTCCTACCAGTCTGGATGAATGTTTCTTCTTTAACTCCTTGGTTGTCAGACTACCATACAGTATGATTTTCTTGCAGTTCTGGTTGGTTTTTGTTTTTAAATTGGTTATTATCCTTTTGGTTGTGGAGGAAGCGAAGCGTATCTTTCTATGCCTCCATCTTGTCTAGAAGCTAAAAGTTTATGACTTCTAATGCAGTTTCAAGTCTAAGGAAATTACAGCATAAGGCCTGGTAGTCTGCATTCTCATGAGCTCTGAGGTGATGCCAGGGCTGCTGGTCCTCAGACCCTGCATACTCTGAGGAGAAAGGGTATAGACTTCTCTTCAGAGAAATCTGGAAGAAGAGCCATTGGGTAGTTTAAGACATGAAAAGATTAATGAAAGCATTGTTTTGTTTTTTCTTCTGAGCACATCTATGGCCAAGAGAAACAAAGAGATGAGGAAATATAAGTTACAGATGTAAGATATTACTGCTAAACATAGGAAAGAAGAAGTGGTGCAGATAATCCACAGAAAGAATGAGAAAAGGGGAAGAATTAAGACCAAAGTTATAAAAATTGCTTTTGAAGAGGAAAGGGGGAGAGTGAAAAGGAGAGAGGAAAGAAAGGCTAGGTAGTTTTTGAGTTGATGAGGAAACTGGAGAGAACTTTAGGATATTGGCAGTGAAACAGAAGATTAAATCATTGCTGCTCCTGAGAATACTGAAGCAGGAGAGAGTGCTAGTACTGGGGTAAACTCTGGCCCCTCCTTTATCCTCCTCATGATTATCAGGCATCAGAGATATATGTTTCACTGGTGTTCATTATTGCCGTGAAAGTAATTTCAATATGGAAGCACTGGCTGTGTTTTTATGGTAGCTCAGGTTTTGATAAGATAGTTGTTTTATAAAATTCCTTTAAACACTAGTATAGTATACCAAACTGATTTTGGACAGAGAAGAAATTAGAGTTTATTCTCTAAGAGCTACAACTGTTATTTCCAGTATATATTACACTGATTTAGAAGTAAAAATATTTTTAATATCTACTATTTCTGTGGCAATTAAATTCATTCTCTTCTTTAGTAATCACACTTCAATATTGAAAGCTCATTATATATTATTTCTTAGATGTGTTTTATGTACCTTCTTGCATGAGTGGATCAAGAAACTTTACGATGGCTAAAGTAGAGGATACAGGAAATGGAGGCATACCAGTAGCCCATATTGGTATGGAAAAAAAAGTTTTATTAATTATTATTCTGTAAGTGTATATCCAAGCTGACCAAGTCTTAACACTTTCTCTGTTTATAAATGCTTATGGATTAAACTGACCTGTCCTCACAATTGTGTACTTCCCAAATTACAGAACACACTGATGAACATTTAAATACTTGTTGCATAAGGTATAAATGATTCTAATGTTATCTTGAAGGAGGTGCTGTTGCATTCTGTTTCACCTTTATTCTGTTTGGGTCATGACTTGTTTCTCTGATTCAAGATCACTTTTATCTCATCAAGTATTATGTTCACTTTGGTGTATGCACACTTTTCTATTTCAGTTACAATCTTTGAAACATAATTTTACTTTTGAAATCTCAACTGCATGTTTTATTAAACTTATATTCTTTTTTATTCAATATTTATACTATATTCATATTTCTTTTTAGTTGGTGTCCTTATCCACTCAGCCCTTGAAAAGAAAAAACAAAACACTAACACCTAATGTAATAATTTCCAAAGCTAAGCATGAGGATTCAGTTGTATACTAACTTTACGTGGATATATAGTTGGCTTTCATATTTTCATATAATTGAGTATATGTCTCTTTGCTCTTTAGATTCTCCTGGAAAATATTCTCACTTAAAGGTAATAACTATTATATTTTTATATTGAGGTACTAACTACAGATTATATGAAATGTACATTTTTTATTAATCATCTTGTTCAAAACTTATTCAGCCTACTGTTGAAGTGAAAGATCCTATTCCTGAAAATGCAGCAGGAATGAATTTTGTACAAACATCCAGATCAGGTAAATTTTGTACTACAAATTTAACTCTGGAAAGGAATACATGAGAATATTTGACATGCTCATAGTCTTCTCATCCCTAATTCCTTTTTTTTCTTTTTTTGCAAGTTTAATTGTAGGTTTTGACATAAGTAATGTAGATGTCACTTTTAGAATTCATGTTTGATGTTTATAGAAAAATAAACCAAGATTTCTAAAATGTAAACTTTAAATAAGATGTTTTTACTTTTGTTTTGATAGCCTAAAGTTCCCAGTTTGGAACCACTATAGTTATTAGGGATTCCCAGAGGTTAATTTTTAGACTCTTAAGATTTTTCCACTATTGTCAAATGCTTATTTGCCCATGCTGGTGTTGCTTAGTGGATTGAGTGCCGGCTTGTGAACCGAAAGGTATCTGGTTCAATTCCTGGTCAGGGCACATGCCTGGGTTGTGAACCAGACCCCAGTTGGCAGAGTGTCAGAGGCAACTAATCATTGTTTCTCCCACACATCGATGTTTCTCTCCCTCTCTTTCTCCCTCCTGTGTCCCCTCTTTTGCAAATAAATGATGTTTTTAAAAAGAAAATAAAAAGGAAGCAATGCTTTTAAAGTAAATAAATAAAGTAAAATAAAATGCTTATTTGAATTCTTACCTTTATCTAGAGTTAAATTTCAATTGCTAACATGTCAGTAGTGGTTTAACTTAAGTATTTCATCTTATTGTTGTTACACTGATGATCTTAAGCCAACCAGATGTTCTGATTAGAAGATTCTGTGTGTGTGTGTGTGTGTGTGTGTGTGTGTGTGTGGTGTCTTTGAGTATTAAAAATGGGGGAGGAAATCAATCATAGGGAATATTTGGTAAACACAACCTCTTAAAACAGTAATTTTGAAACTTTTAGGCCTTAGGGTCCCCTTATACTGTTAAAAATTATTGAGAATTCCAAAGAATTTTTAAGTGGGTTATTCCTATTGATGTTTACAATATTAGAAAATCAAACTAAAAAATTCAAAATACAAGCACTACAATCATATATCCTATTAACTGTTAGAACTATGACCCATTAACCAGTAGAGCTATGATGTTATCACGTATCATGTCTGTGGAAAACTCTACCTGTATACTTACAAGGGAATAAGAGTGAAATGGCAAATGACATTTAGTATTACTGTGAAAATAGTCTTGACCTCTTAGACCCCCGACCCAGTGTGTCTTGGGATTCCAGGGATTCTCTGTTGATACTTGAGTACCACTATTTTAAATTGTGTATGAAGTTCATGGATGTCAAACGGTAAAGAGCCCCTTGTGATTCAACAGGCTGTAAAAGCTTCATTCATCCATTTGTTGCTTTTTGCTTTTACTCATCTTAAAAAGTTTAAATCTGACAATTTTGTTTAAATAAGAGGAAAACATTTTTGTTTTATTCATTCCCTGTGCCATATCACTTTGTACTCACTAGATTTAGTATGGACCTAGACTGATCCTGTTTTTACCTGGAAACAATAAAGTCACCTAAGGTTATCATTTCTCATATGAATTTGTATTTATCTAAGGGTTAAAGATGAATTTTGAAGATACTTGGGTGTTTTAAAAGGACCACTTTATTGTAATTATGTAATTTCTTATTTGAAGTAGTACCACTCATTAAAAGATTTTCTAACCTATGTTTTCTCATGTATATTTAAACTTAAAATAAGGGGTTAGACATAAATTTTGATAACAAAAAAGTCATACCCTGAAGAATCTTAATTATTAATAAACAAAGCTTTTATAGAAAACAGAATATGTATAGAAATTGCTAAGCAAATAAAAATAAGCAGTATGAGTAAATAAAGAAGAACAAAAGTGAGAGACAATAGTTAATTAAACTTCTCTATGTGAATGTCAAGGACAAGACACATAAAGTAATATGCATAATGAAGGAGTCATGTTTAGGAGAAGAGGAAGACGTGGGACTACTTCTCTGAAGAAAGAATTTTTATAAGTCTGTCAAATTTGTATTATCATTTACATTGTAATAAATGAAAAGTTTATTTTATGTTCTTCACATTGTGGTTCTACTACTAGTTTGACCCTCAATCATAAGAATTGTCAAAGATCTGGGATTTCATTTTTTATATATCTTTATTTAATTATGTTTTTAAATCCTCCCCTGAGGATTTGTTTATTGATTTTAGAGAGAGAGGAGCAAAGAGAGAAAGAGAGAAATATGCATGAGAGAGAGAGAAATATTCATGTGAAAGAGAAATATCAATTAGTTATCTCTTATATGTGCCCCAACCACAACCTAAGTATGTGCTCTGATCGGGAATCAAACCAGCAACCTTTTCTTATGAATGGGACAATGCTCCAAACCAACTGAGCCACCCAGCCAATGCAAAGATTTGGGAATTCTAAAGTTCATGAAAAATGTCCATTAGTATCACAATCGATTACCAAAAGTCAGTCAGCATTTGCAGACTAGACAGACTACCTTAACAGATACAGAAAAAGATTAATGTTGGAGTTATTTCTGTTATGGAATTTTAGGCTGCATGACCTGTGTGGTCACAGTTACCAGCACAGAGAGGGAGGAAGGGCAATAATAAAGAAAGAATTCATCCCTGGACCACCTCTATGGCCGCACCATAGTTTTGACCTTTCGAAAATCATTTTGTGGCAAAATCTAGTTTATATTTATTCCTTTTATGCAACCTACAGCCAAACAGAATATCTTTTAGCAAGACATTTCCATTCTTCCTGTAACCAAAGTAATGTATAGTTAAATATAAAGAGACTTAGGAGAAAGAATGAACTCCTTCACATTAGTATTTGGCATGCACTTGGGAGTGGGTAGCAGAATTATATTTAGAGCTCTGGGACTAGATGGGAAAACTAGGTAGAGATCTAAATATTGCCTACTCAAACAAAATGTGGTTTCTTAGCTTTATTTTTATAACTCTGAATTCACAAGTATTATAACTATATTCAGTGTAACTGAAAAATCACCTTACAAAACCAAGTATTAAAGTTTTTTCTTGTATTTTCTATGGCTTTATCCATTTTAGAATTGCTTTTCCAGCAGTAATGGGAATCACTGAGAATTTGCTACACAGTACCTACTTCTGAGCTGTGTCCACATAGTTGTTACCTCGCTTTATTTTTTGTAATGAATACATGATTCACAAGGAATATGGGTTTTAAGGGGTGCTGTGTAATTTAAAATTAGTATATCAAAAGCAGTTTTAATTCTAAGAGGATACTCATTCTGTTGGCTCTCCACATCTAGTGTGTGTTCCACTTTGTGTATTACCTTAATGTCTTTTATCAGTTACATGATCAGGTGTGTAGGAATGAATCGAACACATATATTTTTATTTCTATAATTTTATCTTCTTTCCTTACCTTTAGTACTAACATTGCATTTACAAAAGACTTTCATTTATCTCCTAGAGTAGTGACTTAAAGCTATAAATCCAGCAATTTACCTATCTATACAAATATCTTATTTCTTCATGAGATTGGTGGACCCAAGAAACAGGACTTTCAAAACAAGATCCCTTGTCACAGAAACATGTGAAAGAGAAAAACTACAAAATAAATTCAAGCAACTTAATACAGTTCAGGTAGTTCATTTAATGAGCAGAATCTAGCTGACCCAGGATTTGAACATTTATTCACCGAATAAAGGTTTATTCTATGCTGGGCCCTGAAAATTTTATATCTTAAATAGTTGTGGAAACATCTCCTCAGTTCAGGCCTGCATCCTCTATTTTGCATTATTGCCTTCCAATTCATCCTCCTCCATTTATTCGTATGCCACTCAAATTCCTCACTACAACAGCATTTAGAGTGATGTATCTATCTCAAATGCTAATGTGATCATGAACCATTCTTTAAAATATATTAATGTCTAAGTCTCTTAAAATTACATATAAGGCACTTGTAATTTGACTTCTGCCTAACTCTCCATCTTTAGCCCACTCTACTGTCCTTTCTTTTCTCTGGCATTACAAAACTGCTGGTGATGCCCTCCACACCAATCCCTGCATTTTAGACATAATGGCTCCCATTATATGCTTCTCTCCCTGTCTTGATATTGCCTTGCATGCTCTCTCCCTGTCCTGCCCTCTTCCCCTTTGATTCTGACTAACCTCACTGTTTAAGCCTCAGCTCAGCCATTATCTCTAGAAAAGCCATTCCTGACACCTCTTATTTATGTTCTTTAAACGACAACGCTGAGTCCTAAAAGATGCAATTTGTCAAAATCGTAGAGGAAAACATTTCCAATATAATGAAGGTAAACACTGATAAAGGCATAAAAAGTGACAGTGATTTTGGAAATCGTGAATAATGTTGCAGCTGAAGCTTAAAGAGATGTTAAAAAGGTTTCATTATGAGGTAGAAAATATGATATGAGTTTATGTGTTTGTATGCACGGTATTTCTAAATTTTGTTTCTGATTGTTTTGTTCATTGATGTTAGGTGAATGAATTTTTGAGGTTTCTGTGCCTTGAACTTTCTAATATCTAATATTTCCTAAGTGGCTTTGTTGAAGGTTTCAATAATTAGAAGTATTTCTTAAAGACGTAAATATTCAGCTAAAGATTAAGCTTAATTTAAGCTTAAACTCTCAATTGATAAAATGTATTTTCTATTTTCATAAAGATTATAGCTTTAACTGTTTTAAGTAGTTCATTTTAGCTAATTTATATATTTGTCAGCAGAATTAGACTTAAAAGTGGCATCAGAGGAAGAGCAAGAAAGGCTTAATGGAAGTGAAAATAACCACCCACAGGTATGTAAAATTTAAATTTAAATTCCTGGTATAATATTGTTATCTTTGTTTTAATAATGTAATGTACTCCAAATGAAATTACCTTTCAAGCTAGTCTCTTAGAGTCAATAGATCATAATTGAATATTTAATTTTAACTAGTTATGAGACTTATTGTTAGAATCTATAGTAATTTACAGCTAAATTTGCTTTGTAATAGAGACAAAAATTCTCAAATATTGTTCACTGCTTGCATTTTATAACTTCTTTACATGATAAACAAGCTAGCATCAAATACCAAATCATATCATTAAACAGGTGAAATAATGAACAATGTGACAATGGTGGCCACTGAGTTGAAGTCACATGAAAAGAGTAATCACGGTCATGGTTCAAAATTTGCGGTGTCGTATCAATACTCACTAATGCCAAGGTTAAAGTTTAATGCTGCCTTGTGATCTATGTAATTGAATTCAGGGTCTACAAAGAGGGAGATAATGGGGTCATAAAATCATCTCAACTGCCAGTTAAGAGTATCACATCTTCCCAAATTGAACCTTTTGCTGTTAGGGTACAAATGATAACTTTCTAATTTATTTTATTTCAGTGTAGAAAATCAGTAAGTATTATTACGTTTTTATCCACTCTCATTATTAGGTCATATTAGAATTGAATGCATAACTGTGTCAATGCATACATTATCATATTATTAGAGTTAAAATTTAGGAATTTGCTTTTATTTTTGATTGATGTCAGTGATTTCAACTCCTAATAATTTAAAGCTTGCCTCTTCTCCAGTTATTCTTTTAGAAAAATTCTTTGCTTTTTAATTTTATTTTTTAATTACAGTTTACATTCATTATTATTTTGTATTAGTTTCATGTGTACAGCATAGTGCTTAGATAATTATATACTTTACAAAGTATTTTCTCCAATATTTCCAGTACCACCTGGTACCATGCATAGTTATTGCAATGTTATTAACTATATTCTTTATGCTATACTTTACGTCCCTGTGACTATTTTGTAACAACTAATTTGTACTTCTTAATTTCTTCACCTTTTTCACCTAGTCCCTCAAATCCCTGCCCTCTGACAATCGTCAGTCTGTTCTCTGTATCTATGACTGTTTTTCTTTTGTTTGTTTGTTTGTTTATTTTGTTTTTTAAATTCCACATGTAAGTGAAGTAATATGGTATTTGTCTTTTCTCTGGCTGACTTATTTCACTTAACATAATACCCTATAGGTCTATCAGTACTATCACAAATGGTTAGATTTCACTGTTTTTTACGGCTGAATAGTATTCTGTTGTAAATACATACCACCACTTTTTTATGTACTTGTCTATTGATAGGCAATTGGGTTGCTTCCATAGCTTGGCTATTGTAACTAAGGTGGCAGTGAATAGAGGGACACATATATTCTTTTGAATTAGTGTTTTGGGTTTCTTTGGATATAAACCCATAAGTGGAATTGCTGGGTCATGAGGCAGATCCATTTTTAATTATATGAGGACACTCCATACTGTTTTTCATAGTGGCTTCACCAATTTGCATTGCCACCAACAGTGCACATGGGTTCCTTTTTATCACATTCTCGCCAACACTTGTTATTTGTGGATTTATTGATGATAGCCATTCTGACAGGTATAAGATGAAATCTGATTATGGTCTTAATTTGCATTACTCTGACAATTAGTGACATTAATTGTTTTTATATACCCATTGGCCATCTGTATGTCTTCTTTGGAGAAGTGTCTGTTCAGATCCTATGCCCCTTTTTTAATTGGATTGTTTGTTTTTTGGGTGTCGAGCAGGATGACTTATTTATAAACTTTGGATATTAACTCCTTCGCAGATGTATCATAAGCAAATATGTTCTCATTCAGTATGTTGTCCTTTCATTTTGTTGAGGGTTTTCATTGCTTTTCAAAACCCTTTTAGCTTGTTGTAGTTCTATTTGTTTATTTTTTATGTTTTTTTCCCTTGCACATGGAGATATATCAGAGGAAACATTGCTCAGAGAAATCTCAGAGATTTTGTTGCCTATGATTTCTTCTAGCAGTTTAATGGTTTCAAGTCTTACCTTTAAATCTGTAATCCATTTTGAGTTCATTCTTGTATATGGTATAAGAAGGTATCTAGTTTCTTTCTTTCTTTCTTTTTTTTTTTTGCATGTATCTGCCCAGTTTTCCCATTACCATTCATTGAATAGACTGCCTTTTAACCCACTGTAATTTGTAGCTCCCTTTGTCAGTGCTTCTCTATTCTGTACTATTGATCTCTGTGTCTGTTCTTAAGGTCAATATCATGCTGTTCTTGTCACCATGGCCTTGTATTATAGTTTGATATTAGGCAGTGTGACACCTTCAACTTCATAATTTTCAAGATTGCTGAGACTATTTGAAGGTTTTTGTGGTTCCATATGAATTTCTTGGATTATTTGTTCTAGTTCTGTGAAATACAGCTTTGGCATTTTGATAGCAGTTGTGTTGACTCTAGATTATTTTTCATAGTATGAACATTTTAATGATGTTAATTTCTTCTATCTAGTAACACAGTATATGCTCCACTTATTCGTAACTTCTTTCATTTATTTTCAGGATCTTCTGTTTTCTGAGTACAGATCTTTTACCTCCTTGGTTAAATTTTTCTTAGGTATTTTTTTATGTAATTCTAAACGAGATTGTTTTCTTAGTTTCTTTTTCTGATAGTTTATTGCTGGTGTATAAAAATGCAAATGATTTCTTAATATTAATTTTGTATCCTGCTACTTTACTGAATTCATTTATGTTTTAGTAATTTTTTGGTGGAATCTTTAGGATTCCCTATGTATAGTATCATGTTATTCACAAATAATGATAGTTTTACTTCTTCCTTTCCAATTTGGCTGCCTTTTATTTCTTTTCTTGTCTGATTGCTGTGGCTAGCACTTCTAGAACTGTGTTGAGTAAGAGTAGTGAAATTGGACATCCCTGTCTTGTTCCTGATTTTAAAGGCAATGTTTTAGTTTTTCTTTTCAGTAACTCTTCAGTTGATTATTTAGGTTGATTTTTCTGTGATTCATCTGTAATTCAAGTTTGGTCCTGGGAGGAGGGGAATGCAACCTTCACCTACTCTGTGACATTTTGGATCACCCACCCCCCCAAAAAAATTCTTAAATGCACTGTAGGGACTCATTATTTATGATATGGTGAGGTGAAATATTTTCTTGGAGATTTTATTTATTTATCTTTAGAGAGAGGGGAAGGAAGAAAGGTAGAAAGGGAGAGAAATATCAATGTGGGAGAGAAACATCGATCACTTACCTCTTGTACTCACCCAGTCTGGGGACTAAACCAGTAACCCAGGTATGTGCCCCAAATGGAAATTGCACCCATGACCTTTCAGCTTGTGGGAGAATGCCCAAACAACTGAGCTACACTGGTCAGGGCAGTGAGGTGAAATATTTTAAGTGAGGAAGCATTTGTAGCATTAAAATTCACCTATTAACTTATTTTGGGTAGATTTAACATCTAATGAATTCATTAGTTCCAATAGTGACAAAATTAAGAACTTTGGCTCATTTTTGTTTAAATTTAGACCAAGGCAAGTTATTTTTCACTTCTTAGTAACAATCCAGTGATTTGGGAGTAGGTAAATGTAGATTAAGAAGTTTAACAGTTAAATTTTAATTATAGTGATGGCAAGGATGTAGAGAAAAGGGATCCCTAATGTACTGTTAATGGGAATGCCAACTGGTGCAGCCACTGTGGAAAACAGTATGGAATTTCCTCAGAAAATTAAAAATGGAACTGCTTTTTGACCCAGCAGTCCTACTTCTGGGAATATATTTTAAGAATCCCGGAACACCAATTTGAAAGAATATATGTACCCCTATGTTCATAGCAGCATTATTTATAAGAGCCAAGATCTGGAAACAGCTCAAGTGTCCATCAGTAGATAAATGGATAAAAAAGTTGTGCTACATTTGCACAATGGAATTTTATGTGGCTATAAAAAAGAGAATGAACTCCTACCTTTTGCGACAGCATGGACAGACTTGGAGGTTATTATGCTAAGTGAGAAAAGCCAGTCGGTGAAAGACAATTACCATATGATCTCATTTATATGTGGAATCTAATAAACAAAATAAACTGCTTAATAAAATAGAAACACAGGCATATATAAATAGAACAGATTGACAGCTGTCAGAGGGGAGAGGCGAGCAAGGTACTAGATGAAAGAATGTAAAAGGAGTAGCCAAAGAATATCTATGCATAACCCATAGACACAGACAACAGTGTGGTGGTGGTCAGAGGATAGAGGGGGACAAGGGTGAAGGGAGTGGTTGCACAAAGTAGGGGAAAATTTGGGACATCTGTAATAGTGTAAGCAATAAAACAAAAATTTAATTTTAATTTTTCTTTATTCCTACTTGGTTAATTAAGAATAAAGTTATTTTATAGACATGTACCCTGACAGAAAAGACATCTGAAAATCAAACTAAGAAAATTAATCTTCCACTTTTACACCAGAAAAAAATGTCTCAAGAACCAGAAATAAATAGAGAAGGTGACAGGGGTAATATATCTGCATACTTAGGGCATCCTCTGCAAAAGTGTGAGGAATGTGTGTCAAACAAGGCAAATTAGAATGGAGGAATAATTTACAACTCAACACAAGCGAGTTAAAGCAAAAGTTTGAAGAAATTTGAGAAAAATACAAAATTACTGCTTGTCCTGAGGAAGAACCACTATATGACCATTCTAAAGAAGGATCAAGATTAAGACAAATGCCTTCTAATATGATAGATGATACACTTGATTGTGAGGACGATGATGCATTTGGAGTGTCTGTCTCTTCAGTGTTCCAAACCTTTGCTGAACAAAGAGAACCCACTCTCGAAAATGTCTTTCTACCTTATTCATACCCAGGGCCCTTGGAGTACGCTTGCAGGTAATCTTCTTCCAAGCTTTATTTAAATGAATACAAATACACTATAAAAATGATAACAAACCAGACTTTGAATTGTTTTTAACAAAAATTAGAAGTGTTTTTATAAGGTTATAAAAATAAAAAGTAAAATACCCAGTGGTTAAGTTTGAAATGGAAAAAAGACAATGAGTTTGATGTACAGATGGCAGAAATATGAACGGAAATATTACTAATTGGAAATTAGGCATCAGACATACACCTCAGTCTTTTGATCCAAAAAGCGTTGTTGATTTGTGGTTTGCCTGATGCAATGAAATGAAACACGTGCATCAAATAAGACAGGATATTTCTGCAGTTACAAATAGTTATATGGAAACAAAACCAAAATCAAGATTTGTCCCAGATGCCATTATATGAAGATATTTGCTAATAACTGTATAGAACATGAATTAGAAAATGTGAATTTTTGCCCTGGCTTGTGTGGCTTAGTGGATTGAGTGTCACCTGTGAACCAAAAGGTCATCAGCTCAATTCTGGGTCAGGACAGGTCCCCAGTTGGGGGTTTGTGAGAGGCAAACAATTGATGTGTCTCTTTGCACATTGATGTTTCTCTCTCTCTTTCTCCCTCTCTTCCCATCTCTCTAAAATAAATAAATAAAATCTTGAAAAAAAATTTTTTTAATATGAGTTTTTGTTGAGATCTGCCCTGCCTGGTTTCAGGAGCTGTAACCCCTCATGGCTAAAGCTGAGTGACCAGCCTTCGGTCTTGAAGTCTGTGCTAATTCTCTCAAGGACTGAAGTGTAACTAGACCTGTTACTGTTATCGTTTCCTTGCATTTGCAACATTTTTCATGGATTGAATTTACAAGTTTGAGTCTAGCAACCCTTGGGTGCCCCTTGTCTTAATCCTTATTTGTACTTTATGATATATATAGGCTATTTTCTTAAGATCGTGTTCAGAAGCAGCAAATAGTAGGTTTCACAGGCTTAACAACTGTGATTGAATTCAAAAACAAAAAAGGGGGAGATGTTGGGAGCCGCCCTGCCTGGTTTCAGAACCTGTAACCCCCTCATGGCTAGGGCTAATTGAGCAACCTTTGGACCATTAACCACTAAGGAGACAAAGCTTATTTCCCTGGCAGAAGCGCTGCTGCTGCTCCTTTTTTCATAACTGGCCGCCAATGCTTGATCAGTTAGCCAATGACAGGTAAAATTCCCCAAGCGTGGAACGACGTAAGCAGGCATGATCATGTGGAGGCCCCAGGGAAGAACTTGGGGGCTACAGCAAAAGGGGGTGATGGACCCTCGACTTTGACAAAGCCTGAGTCCTCATTCTGTCTGCAAGAAGTCTGCTAATCTCTGGGCTGTCTTGCCTCCTCTGCCGGACTTAATCCTGAAACAACGACAGAGGGTGGCCCTGTGCTGGAAAGGGCGGTTCCCTGGGTGATCAGGCCTAAGAAAGAACACATAAACTCCTGTGAAACCTGCTCTGTTAAGAATGCTCTTAATTAAATGATAAAGGCCCGAGCAGGAAATGAGTTTGTTTCCCAAAGTTTTGTAGCCCTTTAGCTAACAGACCCTGACTCAGAATAAGCCATCGTAGTTCTTTGTATGCTGTATATTGTTTGATCCTTACTGCCTGACAATGATTAATGAGCTTTACTTGTATTCCTCTGCAAATTAAACCCAATAAAAAAGCTTTGAAGGCAAGGATTGGGGTGCTGTCCTCTAGAGAGAGTGCCCAGGCTGCTCAGAGGCACCCACCCCTTGAGAGGGTAGCTGTGCCGTCCCTTTTCCTCCACAGGACTCAGTAGTCTGTGTGAATATCTCATTTCAACCATAACGCCGCATGTCTGCGTCAAGTTTTTCTCTACCATATAATGACAGAACATCTGAAAGTTATCTAATGAAGAATCACAGCAAGATATACAAAGTTTTAAGAATGAGGTAGAGATGTTAAAATTAAGTTTTCTGGCTTTGGAAAAAGAAAGGTAAATTTGAAAAAGAGGTAGCAGTTAACTTACTGCTACTTTTTAGTTTTTCTCTTACCAGTTATCTGACCCATTCTGTTTTTCACTTAAGACAAAAAGTTTGTGTGTAAAATGAGTTTGTGTAAATTTGTAATTGCATCTAGAAATTATTTCAGCCATCCAAATAATAGGAGTTCAGGAAAACCTTCTTAAAATTTATGTTCCTTAATCAACTTAAGTCTCTCTCTCAGTCTTCCATGTCAACTGGGACACTAATTTAGCTATGTACCACGTGACCTGAATCAGAAAAAGCATAAAGAAAATTGCTTTAAAAATGTAGTAGTAAGCAGTAGGGGTTTTTTTTGTTGTTTGTTTGTTTTAGTTTATTGGCTTCAATATAAATTGCATTCCATAAGCAATAAAATGGGAAGGAAGCCATGACTGAGGGAAGCAACATAAACAAATATTCCCAGCTGAACTCATCTATTACCATGCATCAGTGTGTGCAATCTCAAATGCTTTACTCAAAGCCCTGGAACTTAGAATTCTGAAGTGACCACTTTGAGATATTTTTAATAACAAACACATTTACTTCCGCATATATTTAGTTTATCATTACTCTCAGATGTTTTTGTACATTCAAACTTTATATAATGTTGTTTAATAAAGTATGGAAAATTTTGACATGCATGGCATGAGCATATAGGTAGCAAAACACCTGTACAAAAAAATTTAGTATTTAAAGGAGAAAACTGAGTTTTGAGGCACACTGACTTTAAAAAATAGATAAAAGTTGAGATACTCTCCTTTAAAGGCAAGAGGTGGATAAGCCCTTCCCCCAAACTAAAGCATTAAATTAATTTGCAAAAGTCACACTTTTAATTTATCTGATTAATTTGATAAATTTTTCTGTTCTTTTATCTGATTCAGCATTATCAAAGTATATCATCTCTTTTGGTGGCATAAAATGCTAGGCATTGCATCTTTAGGAGCTTTGGACAGATCATTTAACCTTGGTTTTATTCCCATTATCAGCAAATACGGGGGTAAAGTAGATAATTACTTCTATACCATATCCTCTAGCCATAAAATTTTATGGTTATTGAATGTAAAATTTGGGGAGCCTTACTCATTTTCCAGGATTGTACATTACCTAACAATTCATCACTTTTACTTTGTTCCTGTGTTGTAGTAAAATTTGGTTCGTGTATTTTATGAATGCTATCACTTTTTTGATAACTCCGTGTTCTGAAAGGAAAAATCATTGTAAAAGTCAGCAAAAAATATAGCTTATTGTAGAAAGAGGAAAGCCTCCTGTTAGTTACTGAAGCACTGTGTCACATCCTCTAAACCTGGCTGTGTAATGCAGAATCCAGATGGGAAAGAGATGGTGACAAATTTTATGTCTTCGTCTTTTTATTTCTATGTTTCTGCTGGACAAATGGAAGGGGGGTAAAAGGGAGAGTGGATGTGAATAGAGCACAAAATTAAGAAAGCTCTTTTTGAAATCTTAGAAAATTCTGCTTTTTGAAACAGAAATAAAGCATAATTTAGAATTTCAAAGACCTGTAATGATAAAATTAAAGTAAGCACAAAAATATTTTTACTGATTGAAGTCATGACAATTAAACTAAGAGCCGAAATGATAAAATTAATGAAAACACAAAAGGTCTTCCTTTTTTTTTTCTTTTTTTTTTTAAAACTAGAGTTACCTCTTTTTTTAAGATTTTATTTTATTTATTTTTAGAGAGGGGAAGGGAGGGAGGAAGAGAGAGAGAGAAACATCAATGTGTGGTTGCCTCTTGGTGTGGCCCCCACTGTGGACCTGGCCTGCAACCTAGGCATGTGACCTGACTGGGAATCGAACCTGCTACACTTTGGTTCACAGCCTGCGCTCAAATCCACTGAGCTATGCCAGCCAGGGCTACAAAAGTTCTTTTTAATAAATAAAGTAATAACAATTATCCTTAATCTCAAACTGTCATTAAAGGTTGAAGAAGAAAAAAAGATGCACAACAGTAGTGAAGTGAATGTAACAGAAAATGTGCATAATGCTGATGACAGTGATGGGTTAATTCAACAAAGGAAGAGTGAACAAACTGACAAGCAGCCATTCCCTGTTACAGGGAATGAATATTCTGATAGGTAAGCTTCCAGCAATATTTAATAGTAGGTAATTGTTATTTTCCTACAAAACAAATTCTAATTTTGAGCTAATATTCATGATAAGCCAATTTTATATTTTTATTAGTGATGTTCAGCCTTGTCTGGTAATCAGAAAAATATCAGTTAACAAGCAATGAGATACCATTTTCTGAAGTCATGATGATAAATATTTAAAAATAACCATTTTTTCTTGGCAAATGAAAGAAAAAATGGCATTTTCATACACTATTGCTAGATAAAATTGATTAATCTTTTTTGAATGGTAATTATTAATAGCATGTTTCATAATTTCAAATGTGTAATTTTTTAATCTCAACAGCTATACTTCTGGAACTAGACCCTGTAGGAAAGCATTCTAGGGACATTTATTATATATTACTATGTATATAAAACATACAATAGGTCATTATATATAATATATGTAGTAGGACATAATGTTAAGGATATATAATATATATATATGCCTCAAGGACATTTTTATAAATATGTTACATGCAGGGCAGGGCAAAAGTAGGTTTGCAGTTGTTCATATGGAAAATAATACAGTAATTAATAACTAATAATACAATAATAGATTCTTTTGTATACTCACAACTATAAACCTACCTTTTGCCCTCCCTGTAAATACATATGTATGTTAAGGATATTTTTTATAGCATTGTATATCAAAAAGTTGGAGGTAACCTAAATACCTATCTATAAGGAAATAAATTCTTAAACCCATAAAATAATATGGTATGTAACCACTGGAAAAAATGAGGTTAGGTCTATAGCATACTGATCATTTCATAACTAAAGTAGATTTAAAGCATTTTGTTTGATGTCATATCTGAAACCATTTTTTTAGAATATTTTTAATATCTGCTGTGCTTCAAAAGGAAGTTATATGCTACACTGGCACTCTGTTACCATCCAAATTGCTAGTTATTAGATTTTTCTGTTTTGTTCTTAATATGTGAGTGCTCAAATATTGGACCCCCAAGTTAATCTGAAAGCAAAGAGTTTCACATGACAGTTTGTTCCATGTTTTGTATAAAAATTTTAGTTTATCGAGTAAAACATTAAAACACACCAATGGATCAATCTGTTAAAGTGGCAGGCACAGACCTTCTCTGTAAAGAGCCAGATGGTCAATATTTTAGACTTTGTGGACTATCAGGTCTCTTTCACTGTAGTCTGAAATCTTCCATAGACAATAGGTAAATGAACATGTGTAGCCGTGTGCCAATAAAAGAGTTTACAAGCAGGCAATGGGCTGGACTTGGCCTGAAGGCAGTTATTTGCTGACCCCTGCACTATAAAGCAAGGTGCTACTAATGTAGTAAATCTTCTTTTTAAAGTTTCCCTGCATACATGCCTTTATCCTTTCTTTTTTAAAGAGAATATATTTCAGTATGCACCACACCAAATTTTTCAACAGTGACTTCATATTACACAATTTTTTAAAATTCAGTTTATAAAGAAAATTCTATGCTTCCCCCTTTATTTCTGTTACAGAATTTTAATATGACTAATTACTTCGTATGTTTTAGTAATAGAAAATATTCTAGAGTTGATTTTCATCAAGCAAAAAATCCTTGTTACCTTTTTTAACTATAAGAAAAATGATAATCAGTTTATGTAATATCATTACACAGGGTGGGGCAAAGTAGGTTTACAGTTTGTATGGAAAATAATACAATGATTAATAAATCATAGTACAAGAATGAACTCTCTTTATTGTACTGAGAACTGTAAACCTACTTTTGCCCCATCCTGTATATCTAAAAAAATTTCATGGGGTCTTTTATTTGTATAATTTTGTATATTTATTATTTAATAAGTGGTCTGGCATATTTTCAATTGAAAAACTTTTCTGTGTTGCAAAAATACCACATAATCACTATGAAAGGATTGAAAAACTATAGCTAAACAAGAAAATTAGATCATCCACGATCATGCCATCTAGGTACAAAGTTCTTAAAAGTTGTCTCCCTGATTCTCATCTCCCTTCCATGCACTCTTGAACCCACTCTAGTAAGTTTTAGTCCCTTCTCTCTTCCATAATTGTTTTTCTGAAGGTTACCACTGGTTTTTCACTCTAATACAACTAGCTATAATTTTTTAGATCTTGTTTTACATAATCTGTCAACAATATTTGACCCAATGGGAAACTCTTCAAAATACTTTCTTCATTTGGCTTTCAGGACTTAGTTTTCAGGGTGGGAAGCGCACTTTCCTGGTTCCCTGCTTCCTGTCTAGTCCATGCATCTCTGTCTGTTTTACTTGTTTCTCCCCATGCCCCACCTTTTATACTTAAAGTGTTTCAGGATTCAGTCCTTGGTTTATTTTTCCCATGACTTTTACTACCTTGTATATGCTAATCCCCAAATTTGTATTCCCAGCCCAGATATCATATCTCTCCTTAATTCCAGCCCTATATATCAGACTGTCTACTTGAGATCTCTTTTTGGAAAGCTCTTGGGTATTTTAGACTTAAGATGTTCAAAATTGAACTGCTGATACTGTTTTTTCACACCTGCCCTTCACACAGTCTTTCTGTTTGAGTTAATGACAGCTCTTCAATTGCTTTGCCAAAAACTTGATGTCAACTTCTCTTATACCTCACATCTAATCTGTCAGCAAAACTTTCAGGTTACCTTCAACATTTATCCAGAAGCATTTTCCAGACCCAAGCCACTATCATCTGCTGTTTAGATTAGTATAATAGACAACTAATTGGTTTCCTTCCTTCCTTCCTTCCTTCCTTCCTCTCTTCTCTTCTTCCCTCCCTCCCTTTCTCCCCCCCTTTTTACTCTTTTCTCAATTCTAAACACAGTGGTCCTTTTAAAAGATGAGTCAGATAATGCCATTCCTCTACTCAAAACCTTCTAATTGCCTCCCATTTCATTCAGAGTACATGCCAAAGTTCCTCATAATACCTATAAGGCCTTACATAATCTCGTCATCTTAGATCTCTGTTTCTGACTTGAACTTCTATTTTCTATCCTTTTTGTTTTGGTCCAACCAGACTGAATTTCTCACTATTCCTAAATGCTGCAGGCATATGTCTGTACTTGTTGTTGATTCAATCTGGAATGCGTTTCCGTCAGATATACAGATGGCATGCTTTTTCCATTCTTTTAGTTCTTTACTTAAGAGTCTCTTTCTTAGCAAGACCTATCTTGGCCAGCCTAATATTTTACTGACCTTCTCCCCACACAACACATTAAAATTTCATTTATCTCCTCTAACATGCTGTATATTTTTCCTATCTAGTTTATTATTGTGTGTTTACTTCACTCTCATGACTAGGGTTTTTGTGTATTTACTGCCATAGCCTCAGTGCCTAGAAAAGGGCCTAACATGCAATACTACTCAAATATTGACTGAATGAATGGAATTTCACTTATGTGTGTCGCCTTAAACATTATGCAGCGCACATGGAAATAAGAAATAAGTTTGATGTGGAACCATTCTGACAATTTTATCTGCCAGTTATGTGCATTTTAAATATTCTTTTTGGCTCTTTCTAATAAGCTCTATTTTCTCCATGAATACTTTTCCATTTAGGGAGACAAGCCCAATATTGTGCATACTCACCATTTTTATTATTCATATTCATAGTAGTATTAATTATGGTAAAGTGGATGAAAGGAATAGCAAACTTCATTTATATTTTATTATGAAGCAGAAAATATAGTGGTGGTAAGTTATTCTAGGACTTTAAAAAATTTTTGCCAAAAGTTAATGAACTCTCAATATCTGAAATAAAAAGATAAAGTTGGTATTTGTTGCTCATTATACTGAGAGAGCTATGCTGGTCAGGCAGTCTTTTCTGACATAGTGGACTGCTCCTGCTTTACATGGTTTCTGGACAAGTGGGGTATAAGGATTAGTGGACTTTCAGAGGCTTAAGTGGGTTGACATCATATGAGGCAGCATGGTTATTCTGGTGAGATGGGTGTTGATTGGTTGGCACTCTGAGGCTTGTTTATTCAAATAAGGTTGTCTCTGAATGGCTTTCCTTCAGAAGGAAGCGGTCTACGGTGATTGGTGAGTGAGGCCTGTGGTCACTGACTGATTAAACACAATAAAAACTGATTCCAGTGGCTTCTTGTTACCATGGTTATTAGTCTTTTCCTAAGTTTGAAGAACTTTAACTGAAATGTTTTCTGTGTAAAAGTTGCCTTCCATCAACCATGTACATAATGAAGATTATCTCATATTCTATAACTATAGACTTATTTTTGAAGTTTGGGCCAAGAGGAATTATTTAATAATTGCTCTCATAAAGATCCCTCCTTTTTTAGATGCTTCGTGTTAACCAGAAGAGTTATTTGCAGAACTATATTTTTTAAAAATATTATTAGTTTTGTTTTTGTATAGCTTTTTTGTTTGTTGTATAACTTGTGTACAACTTAGTTTGTATATTGTACAACTTTTGTTTTTATTTGCTTAGATTCAATTATTGATAGATATGTATTTTGCTATTTTATTGTTCATAGTTTGATCTTCTTTTTCTTAACTGAGTCCATTTAACATTTCATATAATAATGGTTTGGTTATGATGAACTTTTATAGTTTTTTCTTGTCTGGGAAGCTCTTTGCCCTTCAATTCTAAATGATAGATTTGTTGGGTAGAGCAATTTTGGATTAGGTCCCTGCTTTTCATGATTTCAAATATTTCTTGCCAGTCCCTTCTAGCCTGCAAAATTTCTTTTGAAAAATCACCTGACGGCCTTATGGGAACTCCCCTGTAGGTAACTGACTTATTTTCTGTTGATTCTTTTAAGATTCTTTCTTTATCGTTAAGCTTTGGCATTGTAATTACATGTCTTGGGGGGTGGGCCTCTTCGCATTCATCTTTTTTGAGATTCTATGCTTCCTGGACTTGCATGTCTATTTTCTTTACCAAATTAGGGAAGTTTTCTTTCATTTTTCAAATAGATTTTTAATTTCTTGCTCTTTCTCTTCTCCTTCTGCCAGCCCATGATGCAAATGTTGGACCTCTTAAGTTGTCGCAGAGGGACAGCTCTCCTCATCTTTTCTCTTGTTCTCATTGGTGGTTTTTTACTTCCTTATGTTCCAAATCATTGATTTGACTCTCAGTTTCATCCATTCTACTGTTGTTTCTCTGTAAATTGTTCTTTATTTCAATTAGTGTATCCTTCATTTCTGACTGGATCTTTTTGATGCTGCTGAGGTCCTCACTAAGTTCCTTGAGCATCCTGATAACCAATGTTTTGAACTCTGCATCTGAAAGATTTCTTATTTCCATTTTGTTTAGCTTTTTCTGGAGTTTTGATCTGTTTTTTCATTTGGACCATATTTCTTTGTCTCCTTATTTTGGCAGCCTCCTTGTATTTGTTTCTATGTATTAGGTAGAGCTGCTTTGACTCCATGTCTTGGTAGTATGGCCTAATGTAGTAGGTGTCCTGTAGGATCCAGTGGGACATCCTCACCTGTCACCCAAGCTGGGTACTCAAGATGCGTGCTTCATATGGGCTGAGTACACCCTCCTCTTGTACTTGAGTCTTAGTTGCTGTTGGCAGATCAATTGAAGGGATTTACACAGGCCAGTCAGCTGCAAGGATTGGCTATGACCACTTACCACAAATCTCCACATTTTGTGGAAGATTGGCTGTATAGGGGCAAGGTGGTTGTTCTCCCGTGTGGTCTGTAGCTGTCCAACTGGGTGTGCTGGCCCTGGAGTTCCCCAGGTGGCGCAGCACACCCAGGGACAGCCCTCACCTGTATTTTGCCCAAGGGAAGCCCTGCCTGAGCTCTAAAGCAATTTGAGATGGCTGCTACTTGTGCTAAACTTAGAGATTCCCAGGCAGAGCCAAGCTGTGAATCTAGACTGGCTACGGGTTCTTAGTGCAGGCCTTGGGGCTCACTGAGGCCATCTCATCTGTTGTTTGTTTGAGAGGATTTAGGAAGTTGTGCGTCATGAGCCAAGACCAGCCATTCATATGGAAAAGCAGCTTAGGTGGACCCATAAGTTGGATGGGGCAGAGTCTCTTGGAATCTCCAGGGTGGGTCAAACAGCAATGGGAAACATTGCTAGCCAATAATAAATGGGTTAATTTATGTAACAAGAAAAAATACAAGTTGATGGAGTCTCAGATATGGTACCAGCTTTCTGGCTCTGTGGCTCTGTGCTAGGGAGGATTAGAAAAGACACAATGGCCTCTACTCACCTTGATGCTAGACACTTCAGTTTGTCCCAATATGTCACTGGTACCTTTCAAGGTGCTACCTTGGTGCTGGAGCTTAGAAGGAGTGAGTTTGAGTAGGCAAGTCCATGTGTGAGTTCTTTAAGAAGAATTGCTTGGGACTCTAGCATTTTTCTACCATTGACTTAATCCCCACTGGTTTTTGTAGGCAGGAGTTTTGGGGACTTATCGTCCTGGCACTAGAACCCTGTGGTGGGGTGTCCTGGTGTGGGTCTGGGACTCCTCCATCCTGAGATATCCCTCCCAAATTTTTATCCACCACATGTGGGTAAAGGACCAGCCTGTTCTGCATCTGCACCCCTCCTACGAGAGTGGATGGATGCAATTTCTTTAATTCTGTGGTTGTCAGACTTCCATTCACCTTGATTTCTAGTGGTTCTGAGTGACAGTTGTTCTATAGTTTAGTTGTCATTTTGATGTGGTTGTGTGAAGAAGCAAGCCATGTCTGCCTATGCCACCATCTTCCCCATTCTCAAAACACATGTTTTGAAGTCAGATTTCCTGGGTTTGAATTCAGGGTCTGCTGTTGACCACCTGTTATAGACTCTGGCAAGTTACTTAGCTTTTCTATGCCCCATTTTCTTTCTTTGTAAAATACCTAATATATTGCCTACCTCCAAGATTTCTTTCAAGGATTAAAATGCTCCTGAGACATGTAAAATGCTTGCAATAATGCTTACTTGTTGCATAGTAAGTCCTCGAAAAGCTAGTATCATGACTATTATAAGAGGGATTCCTTCATGTAAGGGCTTAAGTAATACTTTCCAACTAGGTCTTAGTGCCTGTAGAAACTCATGTTTATTGAAAATGACAATGAAAAACCATGGTATATTATTTCTTCCTATCCATAGTGCAAGTAACAAACATTATGTTTTTCTTTTTGCTTTGGCTATCAGCTTGATCTAAATTTAATACTTCATGTTAATATGAGCAGGATATTTTCTTTATCCTTTAATGTTAGTTATTCTGTTTATTGTTTAATCCCCTCAAGGAAAATTAATTACAAATGTAGACATAAGACTATAAACCTTCATTTACATAAGAAACAATAGGTTTAGATATTCTTTGTATCTTAAGTATCTTAAATATTTACCTGAGAAAAACTGTTTTCTTTTTAGATCTACAGAGAAAACATCTTATGAAGAGAAAACATTTAGTGAAGAGAACAAGGTATTGTAAAAAATAAGCTATCAAAAATATTATTTGTGGTAAAAAATTATAATAGATATAGTGAAACAACAGAAAATCTTCCTTTATTATAGGGACATGTACTTTGTGAAGGTAATTTAGAAATATTATTGATAAAGGTATGTTTTTTATAAAAATCAATTCTTTTAAGAATACTTATGTTTTTGTTTTTATAAAAAGGTGGATATTTATCACCTCTATATACTTAATATATTTTATTAACATTTTGAAAACCAGTATTATTTATTTGTAGGTCAAAGAGAAATTTAATTCCATGGATGACCTTGATGACTTAACTCAGTCATCTGAAACATTTTCAGAACACTGCGAATGGCCTTATTCCAACTGTAAGAATTTCATGTTGCTAATTGAACAACTTAGCATGGATTGTAAAGGTAGGACCATTGCATAAATATAAAGCATTTTATGTATACTGTAGTAATATATGTACAACTTGTGTAGTACTGAACCATAGAGCACTGACGTGTTGTATCACTGTTTATCTAAGAAATATGTTTGATATTACTATAAAGTGAGAGTGATTGTATGCTCTCAGCCAAAGAGCTATGATACTTTCCACTGTACTTGTCTCAGTGTGAACGGCGATACCTAGTGTGCCTCTTTACTCTGTTTTTCTCCAATGCCTTCACCCAAGGTCAGGTTATGAAGATTCCCTCCCAGAATACTGAAATAACCTCATAACTGTTCTCCCTGCCATTTTACCTCCTGGAACTTTGGTCTACAACTGTAATTATTATATATTTTTAAAAATTGAGATCTCATTGTGTTTAATTTTTTAAGTATATTTTATTGATTATGTTATTACAGTTGTCCCATTTTTTCTCCCCTTTATTCCTTTCCACTCTGCTCCCCCTTTCCACCAACATTCTCCCACACTTAGTTCATGTCAGTGGGTCATACATGTAAGTTCTTTGGTTTTTCCATTTCCTATACTATTCTTAACCTACACCTGTCTATTTTGTACCAACCATTTATGCTTCTTATTCCCTGTACCTTTCCCCCCAGTCTCTACCCCCACACCCACTGATAACCCTCCATGTGTCCTCCATTTCTGTGATTCTGTTCCTGTTTTAGTTGTTTGCTTAGTTCACTTTTGTTTTTGTTTTTAGGTTTAGTTGTTGGTCTTTGTGACTTTGTTGTCATTTTACTGGTCATAATTTTGATCACTTTTTCTTAGAAAAATCCTTTTAATATTTCACATAATAAGGGTTTGGTGATGATAAAGTCCTTTAACTTGACCTTATCTGGGAAGCACTTTATCTGCCCTTCCATTCTAAATGATAGCTTTGCTGGATAGAGCAATCTTGGATGTAGGTCCTTGCCTTTCATGACTTGGAATACTTCTTTCCAGCCTCTTTTTCCCTGCAAGGTCTCCTTTGAGAAATCAGCTGACAGTCTTACAGGCACTCCTTTGTAGGTAACTGTCTCCTTATCTCCTGCTGCTTCTAGGATTCTCTCCATTTTAATGTAATGTAATGTAATTATGATATGCCTTGGTGTGTTCCTCCTTGGGTCCAACTTCTTAGGGACTCTCTGGGCTTCCTAGACTTCCTGGAAGTCTCATTTTCTTTGCCAGATTGGGGAAGTTCTTCATTATTTGTTCAAGTAAGTTTTCAATTTCTTGCTCTTGTTCTTCTCCTTCTGGCACCCCTGTGATTCAGATGTTGTAATGTTTAAAGTTGTCCCTGAGGTTCCTAAGCCTCTCCTCACTTTTTTTAATTCTTGTTTCAGTTGAATGTTTTGCCTAAATATTGTAGGCAATATATTAGGCAAAACATTAGGCATTTTGTTCCAGTTGAATGTTTATTTATTCCTTCTCATTGATTTGAGTCCTGGTTTCCTTCCCTTTAATGATGGTTCCCTGTATGTTTTTCATTATTTCACTTTGCATAGCCTTCACTTTTTTCCTCTATTTTGCAATCATACTCAACCATTTCTGTGAGCATCCTAATTAGCAGTGTTTTGAACTGTGCATCTGTTAGGTTGGCTATCTCTTCATTGCTTAGTTCTGTTTTTGGAGCTTTGATCAGTTCTTTGATTTGGCCCCTATATCTTTGTCTCAGTACATCCATTAGGATGTAAGGGGCAGAGCCTCAGGTATTCTCCAGGGTGGGGCAACCACATGGCTGCATTGTGGCACTGTAGATGGGGGAGGGATCAGAGAATAATGTTGCTTGATTGGCTCTTGGCTGGCTTTGAGTCACTTACCCCTGTACTCCAAGCAAATTGGGCCATTCTGGTGCTGATTCCCAGGTGGGTGGGTTTGTGTATGTTCTAGGACCCTGTGGGTTTCTCCAATGAACCCTCCTGTGAGGCTGGGAGTTTCTCCCATCACCACAACTCCCACAGGTTTTTACAACCAGAGGTTTTGAGGCTTTCTTTTCCTGCACTGGAACCCCATGTTCTGTGGTCTGTCTCACTCCCCAGTTGTTCCTCCTAGTTTACCCACATGCAAATGTGGGACCACCAGCTGCTGCCTCACCCACCCTGTCCTCCAGCCACTGCCTTGCCTCGAGTCCTCTCTGCCCCAGCTGCCTGTCTCTGCTCCTCCTACCAGTCTGGATAAATATGTCCTTTTTAATTCCTTGGTTGTCAGACTTCCATACATTTTGATTTTCTGGCAGTTCTGGTTGTTTTTGTTTTTTAATTGTTTTTGTCATTCTTTTGGTTGTGTGAGGAGGCAAAGTATACCTACGTATGCCTCCATCTTGGCCAGCAGTCCTAGATCTCATTGTGCTTAAAACCAAGCCTTTACTTCTCATTGCTCTAAGGTTAAAGGCCACAGTATCCTCTAGCTTCATTTTCTATCATTTTATATCCTCTTTCTATCTATGTTACAGCCACTGTCTTATATTTTTTTTCCTGTAATAGTGCTTTATTTCCAACAGCTTGGTTAGGTAAACTACACACATAGTAGTGTATAGCTTGATAGTTTTGCATATGTGTGTACACATATGAACTCATCCCCACAATCCAGATAGTTAGCATATCCATCACCCCTAAAAGTTTTCTCATGCCTTTTTATATCCCTTCTTAAGAGACTACTGAGTTGGGTTTTTTTGGGCCATTTTCCATTCCCACCAGCAGTGCATGAGAATTCCATTTCCTCCATATTTTCACTAACATTTAGTATTGTCAGTTTTTTAAATCTTAGCCATTCTGATGGGGATGTGTATACCCACTGTGCAACCAACTGAGCCATGACACCGGCCAGCGCCCTTTTTCTTTTTGATGAAATCCAGTTTATCCATTTGTTCTTTTATGGATTTTTCTTTTGTTGTTCATGTCTAGGAATACTTTGCCTAACACAAGGTCACAAAATTTTCTTTTCAGTTTTCCTTTAGAAGTTTTATAGTTTTAGGCCTTGCATTTAGATATGGGTCATTTTGTGTTGTCTTTTACTTGTGAAGCAAGATATGGATTCAAGTTCATTTCTTTGCATATGGATATCCAGTTGTTCCAGCACCATTTGTTGAAAATGCTATATTTTCTCTACTTTTTGGTACTGTGCCTTTGTCAAAATTAGTTGACCATATGTGTATAGGTTTATTTCTGGACTCTGTTCTGTCCCATTGATAGACCTGGCCATCCTTACACCAGTAACTGCAGGTGTTTTAATTACTGTAGGTTTATAAAAGTTCTTGAAATCAGATAATGTCAATCTTCCATGATTTCTTGATTTCTTTTCATGATTATTTTGCTATTATAGATTACTTTGTATTTCCACATGAATGTTAAATCAGCTTATCAATTTTTTAAAAATTCTGCTAGCATTCTCAAAATTAGTTTTGAATCATATTTAATATACAGATTAATTTGTGAAAAATTGATTTCTTTATCAATATCATATTTTCAACCCCGATCAAAGTTTGTGTCTACATTTATACAGGACATCTTTAATTTTTCTTAGTAATATTTTAATGTATAGGTCTTTCTGTCTTTTATGAGGTTACCCATAAGTATTTCTTATTTTTTTAATTGTAAATAATATATTTTGAGTTTTAATCTCTGGCTGTTCACTGCTAACATACAGAAATACAGTTGATTTTTGTATGTTGATTCTGTGTCCTTCAACTTTGCTAAGTTCATTTATTAGTTCTAGTAGCTTTTTGGCAGAGTCTGTCAGATTTTCTACATAACCAAATGTTGTCAAACTTTCTTTCTTAAACTACTATTTTAGTAAAGACAGTAAATGTTTAAAACTTGTGACCAATAACATTCTCCATCACAACTAATCAGCTCTGCCACTGTAAATGAGAGTAGCCATAGACAATACATAAATTAATGGACATAACTGTATTTCAGTAACTTTTTATTTACTGAAACAAGCAACCTGGCCCACAGGATGGAGTTTGCTTGCTCCTGTTGTATGATCATGTTGTCTACTAATAGAGACAAGTTTACTTCTTCCTTTCCTATGTGGATGCCTTTTGTTTCTTTATCTTGCCTAATAACACTAGCTGGAAATTCCAGTATAGTGCTGAGTAGATGGAGAAAAGTGGTCATTTCTGTCTTGTTCCTGATTCTTTAGGGCAAGAATTCACCTTTTAACGAATACCTATGATGTTAAATGTAGAGTTCTCATAGATCTTTTCTTTAATCATATTAAAGAAATTTCCTTGTACTCCTAGTTTGCTAAAAGTGTTTTTTTATTTTGTTCAATTATAGTTGTCTCACATTTTTCCTCATTGCTCTCTCCTGCCCTACCCATGTCCCACCCTACCCTCTCCTTTTTTAAGCTTGAATAGATGTTGAATTTTGTCCAGTGCCTTTTTTTCCCTAGTGACATGATTATAGTATATGGTTTATTAATATGGTAAGTAACAGTTGATTCTTTTACTTTTAAAAATACAGATTTATTGAGATATAATTTATATACCATACAGTTCATCAATTTAGAGTGGAATTCAGTCGTTTTTAAGCGTTTTCACAGAATTGTACAACATCACCAAAGTTGATATAAAAATATTTTCATCACCTGCTAAAGAAACCCTATACCTATTTATAAGTACTTTTAAAGATAAATTTAGGACTCTACAGCTCAGAAGAAAAATATTTTTTTCTCACTTGGTAGAAAGCTGGATTAAGTCCTGCAGTTCTAGTTTGAAAAAGTCTTTTTTTAAACAAAAACAAACTTCATTTACTGTAGTCTTTGACTGGATATTTAGCTAAATTTGACTTAGCCAGTGGTAATTGGTCACACTGGAATTCACAAATAAATCCATCTAGTTGTACTCTCAGTGAAATGATCAACAAAATTAGTAGACTTTTACAATGGAATGGGAGTGATGTTACAAACATATCAGGTAGCTAAAGATTCATGCCACAACTCCTACTAGAAAAATTTTCCGTATTGTGAGTATGGAGTTTGTATTTGTCTTTTAATAAAAGCAGTGTTTTTGGAGTTGATGTGGAAAGATCTTTTTTCATTAAATTTATTGAGGTAATATTGTTAGTAACATATAAAGTTCAGGTGTACAATGTTATAATGACATCTGTGTACTGTATTGTGTGCTCACCACTCAAAGTCTATTCTCCTTCCCTCAGTATGTATTTGTCTCCCTTTACCCTAACTGATTTTTGAATGTTAAACATACCCTGCATTCCCCATCTGCTTATGACAGTTGTCTTTTTGATATATTGTTGGATTGGATTTACCAATGTTTTGTTGAGAATTTTTACCTCCCATGCTCATGACATAGCTTTCTTTCTTTGTCTGGTTTTGGTTTCAGGGTAATAGAGAATGAGTTGGGGCACATTTCTGCTCTTCATTGTTTGAGAGAATTTGTGTAGAATTGGTATTATTTTTTTCTAAAATGTTTTGTAGAATTCACTGGTATAGCCATGTAGACCTGGAATTTTCTCTTTTTGGAAAGGTCTTTAACTAGGACTTTAGATTCTTTTATAGATATAGGACTGTTTAGCTTATTATCTGTTCTTTCTTGATTGATTAAGTTTTGGTAATTTGTACCAAGGAATTGACCCACTTCATCTGAATTGTCAAATTTATTTACATAAGTTTTATAGTATTACTCTGTTGTTTTCTATAAAATCTGCAGAAATGTCTCATTAGTTACTTCTAATTTTGGTAGTTTGTGCATTCTCTCTTTTTTCTTATTGGCCTGACTAGAGGTTTATTACTTTTATTGATTCTCAGAAAGCACTTGTTTCATTGGTTTTTCTCTATTCTTTTTTTTTATTTTCACTCTGATTGATTTTGTCTTTGATATTTATTATTTCTTCTCTTTTGATTACTTTAGGTTTAATTTGTTCTTCTGTTTCTAGTTTCTTAATGTGGAAGCTAAAGTCATTGATTTGAGACCTTTCTTATTTTCTAATATAGATATTCGGTGCTGTAAATTTCACTATTAAGTACTACTGTAGCAGCATTCCACAAAGCCTATTGTATTTATTTTCATTTGCATTCAGTCTAAAATACTTTTCTGATTTCTTTTTCCATTACCTCTTTGACCTAGGGGTTATTTATATGTATGCTACTTAGTTTCCAAATGCTTGAATATTTTCTAGAGATATTTTGGTTTTCATTGTCAGTATGATATTTTTGTAGATAGCATACATACTTTATATGACTTAAATCTTTTTCACTGACTCTTTTTATTAAGATGTATTTAATGACCCAGAATACAGTCTTTTTTGGTAAGTGTTTCATAGGTACTTGAAAAGAGGAGTTGTGTTCAAGTCTGCTATATCCTGGATGATTTTCTGCCCACTGTTCTATCTTTATTAAGTGACTGGTATTAAAATCTCAGACTGTAATTGTAAATTTGTCCATTTTTCTTTTCAGTTCTATCAATTTTTGTTTCATGTATTTTGAAACTGTTAAGTACATGATCATTTAGGATTATTGTGTTCCTTATTAATTTATCATTATTCATTGATCTAATTCCTGATATTATTTTATGATCTGAAATCTACTTTGGTGTTAAGATAGCCACTTACTTCAACCTTCTTTTGTCTGGTGTTAGTGTCTTATATCTTATTTCTGTGCTTTTAAAAAAACTGTGTCTTCATGTTTAAAGTACATTTCTTACAGGTGGAATGTAGTTGGGTCTTGGTTTTTTATCCAGTTGGACAATCTGTCTTTTAATTGAAGTTTTTGGACAGTTTTCATTTAATGTGATTATGAATATAGTAGGTTTGAATCTGTCATTCATGCTGTTTGATTTCTTTTGGTCCCATCTGTTCTTTGTTCCTGTTTTCATTTGTTTCTGTCTTCTTTTAGATTATTTGAATAATTTTATAATTTAGTTGTATTTCTTTTTTTTGGCTTATTTGCATAACTCTTGATAACTTAGTGGTTGGTTTAGGGTTGCCTTGTGATAAATGACTTTAAATTATCACAGTCTACCTTAAAGTAATATTATAGCATATCACATATAATATAAGAAAATTACAATAATTTACTTCCATTTCTTCTCTATTAGCCAGGTCTGTCCTAGATCTGTGGGATTATATTTTTCATTGATTTTAAAAAGTATGTGGTCATTGTTTCTTCAAATATTTTCATCCGTTCCTCCTCCTTTTGGGAATTATACATTAGCCATTTAAGTTTTTTCACAATTCACTGATTAGAATTTACCAATCATGTATTTTGTGATGTCTAATATGCATTTATTCCCATCCAGTGTATTTTTCATGTCTGACATTGTAATTTGCATCTTTAAGTGCAATTCATTTTTTTAAAAAAAATAGCTTTCATGCCTCTACTTATCTTTTTGAGCTTTATTTGTGATTTAGTTAAGTTCCTTATAAACAGTTTGATCCTTTCTATTCTTGCTCTTATGATATTAGATGAAACCAGAGCAGTGCTTTGCCAAGGGCTAATTACTCTCCACTACTGAGGCAAGACCTTTCTGTCTGCTCTGTTCATTAGCCTGTGACTTAACGGGTTTTCCCAGCCTGGCTAGTGGGAATAGATACCATTGTGCTGTGTGAGCACCAGGTACTGCTCCCTCTACTCTTTTCAAATGTTTGTTTTCCCTGGTCTGAGGTGATTTCCCCCCAGGTCTGCACTGTTCATTACTCAGCTGAGTACCCTCTGCAGACCTCCAGGGTTCTTTTTTGTTCTGCTCCCTCTGCTCAAGAGTTCCAACCTGTGATCTCTACCTGCCTTAGTTTCTCCACACCCTCAGTTTCATCACCTAACTCAAGGAGTCTGGTAGACTCTACCTCAGTTCCTCCTCCCTGTGTTGTGGCCTGGAAGTTCTCTAAAGGCAGTAAGCTGGAACATTCATTAGGCTCACTTCATTTGTATCAGGAATCATTGTCCTTCACTATTTGAAGTTTGCTGTCTTGAAAATAATTTTTTTAAGATTTTTTATTTATTTCTTTTTAGAGAAGGAAGGGAGGGAGAAAGAGAGAGAGAGAGAAACATCAATGTGCGGTTGCTGGGGGTCATGGCCTTCAACCCAGGCATGTGCCCTGACTGGGAATCAAACCTGCAACACTTTGGTTCGCAGCCCACGCTCAATCCACTGAGCTATGCCAGCCAGGGCTGAAAATAATTTTTAAATGTATTTTGTCTTTCGTTTTTGCTTGTTTCAGGTAGGAAGTTAGATCAGTACCTACTCCTCCATCTTGTTAGAAGCAGATTGCATAGAACTTGAGCACATGCTGTAGAGAATCTACAATGCACTCCTTCTTCCTGCTCATCATGCATTTGTCACTGTAGCCATCTCTTCTTCAGGGATATCTTCCTTGGGCCCAGTCTAGACTGAGTTCTGTTATATGATCATAGAACTCTGTTTACTTAGAGTATCTACCTGAATTTGTAATTATCATTTAACTTGTCTTTTTCCTCTAATAGACTTGAAACTAAACAAGAGCCAGGGATCTTGTCTGTTTTATTTGCAGAGCTTAGTATAATGTCTTCCACATTGTAGGTACTCAATATATATTTTTTCAATGTATGAGTGAGTGTGAAAATGTACAGTCTTTAGACACAAAAAGTACTAATATTTTTCTATTTTTGTTTTCTTTCTGATGCAGATTCTGTTAGCTTACTGAAAATCCAGGACTCACTTCTTTCCTATGAAAGATTAATAGAACTTAAGAAAAATCACTGTGAAATACTTACAGGAAAAATTAAAAAAACAGAAAATAGGATTAGCGAACTACAAAAGGAGCTATCAGAAACTAAAGAAATGAAATCACAGTTAGAGCATCAAAAAGTGGAATGGGAGCAAGAACTCTGCAACTTGAGGTATTGAGTAATTTGTTTTTAAAGAAATATTTAAATACATCTATTTTTACATACTCTGTATATGTAAGAAAAAAATTTAATTGCATTATTACCATCTAAGATGGTAATAACCATATTCCAGGGAAGAATATTTCTTTACTATTATGGAGTATGACATTTTGGGAATAATATAACAGTTTTTAACAGTGCATACTTCTAATAATAAGTTAATGTATATTTTTCAAATCATCATTTGAATGACTATATAGAAGTCCACCAAATGGAAACCTCATTGTTTATTTAACAAATTGAATTTTGGTAGTTTTTCATTACTGTGTGTTATAATTAATCCTGCCAGGAAATGTCTATTATATAAGTCAATTTCTATATTTTGATTATGTACTCTGAATGAATTCTTTAATAGAGTATATTTGGTTAAATGTAATAACTTTAAAAAAGGATGTTTGGTTCATATTCCTAAATTATTCACAAGATAGTTCATATCAATTAACATTCCCACTAACAGTATGAAATGGTCATTTTTCTCAAGATAGAAAAAAATTTTTAAAGAACTAATACAATTTTTTTAGTTTTAATATATATATGAAATGGAAAGTGATAGCTGATTAGTTTATTCAGCATCTTTCTTACACATAGATAAAACTAACTAAAAGGTCTATACTGAAAGCACATGTTACTCTCTATTGTTGATTTTATTAATATTCTGTCTTATTTCAAAGGGATTTTAAAGTGATTTATAAAATAGATAGTAATGAAAAAATATGTTTAAAAGGTTGCAAAAGAGGAAACCATAAGAAGTGCAGAGCAGCAGATACGAGACTCCCTAGGCTGGTCTTGGATCACAGTGGCCAGCAGATAAGTCTTGTGTGAAACGTTTCTGCAGATGCTGTCCTACATGCAAATCATTTTTAGGGGTACCTGTAATAGTTTGTGAAGCTGAAATTTTATTTTAGTGAATTTATAAACCTGTTTATAAACAACTACTTCTCTTTCTAATTAGTAACGAAATGATGTCATGTCCTAATGGAGAAGTAATTATGATTGTGCAAAGGAGGATAATTTCAAGTCTGCCTTTACTGAATAATTTCAGAATTTCTTTTCTACAGTATTTACCACAGTTACTATTGACTAAAGCGTACTAAGTTACAAAGTTTTTTCATTGCTGCCCCTCAGTTATGTATATAAAAATATATATATAAAGATGTATATATATATATGAAGAGATTAAATTGAAAAAAACATGAAACCTAGCAAAGAAAAAATTCAAAAACATAAGAATTTCATTAGGATAATAAACCAGCATATGTGGAACCAGATATAAAATGAACATTTTATTTTCTAATGAAATGAATTTTAAGATAAGTATATTTAACTGCAGGTTTACATTAAAAGAAGAAAAAGAGAAGAGAAAAAATATGGATGTGTTACATGACAAAATAAGGGAGCAGTTAAGAAAAAAAGAAGAGCAGTATATAAAAGTAGTTGAAATGAACCAACAACTTGAAACCACTCTTAGAACACTAGAAATGGAATTGAAGATTGTAAAAAATAATTTAAATCAGGTAAACTTATCCTTTGTAAAAATGTCTTATTTCTCTTTCTGTGTGTGTGTGTGTGTGTGTGTGTGTGTGTGTAAGCATGTAAGCAATGGCTGAGCTTCCCTTTGGGGAGACAGAGCTTTGCGTTTTTAAAAAAAATTTCCATTATGGTTTAAATTCAGTATTATTTTGTATTAATTTCAGGTATAGAGCATAGTGGTTAGACAATCATATACTTTACAAACTGTTCCTCTAGTATTTCAAGTACCCATCTGGCACTGTACATAGGTATATAATATTTTTTACTATATTCCCTATGCTATACTTTATATCACCATGACATTTTGTGACTAATTTGTACTTTTTTTCATTCTTTTTTCCCTTATTTTTATTGTTGACACTATTACAGGTGTCACATTTACCCACACTTTGCCCATGTTAACCCAGCCCTCATCCCCCCCTTTGCTCAGGCTATCACCACACTGTGTCTGTGGGTCGTGTATATATGTTAGTTGGCTAATCCCTTTACCTTCTTTCATCTAGTCTCTCCTGTCTTTCCTCAGATCTGACAGCTGTCAGTCTGTTCCATGTATCCAAGCCTCTGTTTTCGTTTTGTTCATCAGTTTATTTTGTTCATTAGATTCCACATGTAACTGAAATAATATGGTACTTGTCTCTCTCTGACTGGCTTTTTTCACTTAGCATAATAATCTCCAGGTCTTTCCATGCTGTCGCAAAGGTAAGATTTTCTTCTTTTTTATGGCCAAATAGTATTCCATTGTGTAAATGTACCACTCATCAATTAATGTGCACTTGAGCTGTTGCCAAATCTTGGCTATTGTAAATAATGCTGCAATGAACATGGAGGTGCATATGCTCTTTCAAATTAGTGTTTCAGGGGTTTTTTGGATATATTCTCAGAAGTGGGATTGCTGGGTCAAAAGATAATGCCATTTTTAAATTTTTTATGGAAACTCAGTACTGTTTTCCACAATGGCTGCACCAATCTGCATTCCCACCAAAGTGCATGAGGGTTCCCTTTTCTCCAGATCCTCACAGCACTTGTTTGTTGATTTATTGATGATAGTCATTCTGACAGGTGTGAGATGATACCTCATTGTGGTTTTAATTTGTGTTTTTCTGGTGATTAGTGATGTTGAGCATTTTTTCATATGTCAATTGGCTGTATGTATGTCCTCTTTGGAGAAGTTTCTATTCAGGTCCTTTGCCCATTTTTTAATTGGATTGTTTATTTTCCTGGTGGTAAGTTGTGGAAGTTCTTTATGTATTTTAGATATTAACCCCTTATCAGATGTATCATCAGCAAACTAGTTTCCCTTGTCATTTTGTTAATGATTTCTTTTGCTGTGCAGAAGCTTCTTAGTTTGACATAGTCCCATTTGTTTGTTTTTTTCCTTAGTTTCCATTGCCTTAGAAGATATAGCACCAAAAATGTTGCTTATGAGACATGTCTGAAATTTTACTGCCTGTGTTAAGACTTTTATGGTTACATGACTTACATTTAAGTCTTTTATTCATTTTGAGTTCATTCTTGTGTACAGTGTAAATTAGTAATCTAGTATCATTTTTTTGCATACACCTGTCCAATTTTCTCAACACCATTTATTGAAAAGACTGTCAATACTGCATTGTATGTTTTTGCCACCATTGTCAAATATTCTATCATCATAACAGCATAGGTTTATTTCTGGGCTGTCTGTTCTGTTCCATTGATCTATATGCCTATTCTCATGCCAGTACTAGACTGTTTTGGATACAGTAGCCTTGTGGTATAGTGTGATATCATGTATTGTGATACCTACAACTTTGTTTTACTTTCTCTAGATTGCTGAAGCTATTCAAGGTCTTTTTAGGTTCCATATAAATTTTTGGAATATTAGTTCTAGTTCTGTAAAATATGCCATGGTGTTTTAATAGAAATTGCATTGAAGTTATAGATTGCTTTGGGTTTGCACATTGGACATTAAAATGTGCAACACCCAAGTAATGGACATTTTAATGATGTTAATTCTTCTAGCCCGTAGACAAGACATATGCTTCCACTTATTTGTATCTTCCTCAGTTTCTTTCTTCAATGTCCTATAGTTTTCTGACTACAGGTCTTTTCCCTCCTTGGTTAAATTTATTCCTGGTGCCTTATTTTTTTGTCATTGTTGCAATAGTAAATGGAATTAATTTCTTAGTTTCTCTTTCTGATAGTTCATTGTTGGTATATAAAAGTGCCACAGACTTCTGAATTTTAATTTTGTTTCCTGCTACTTTGCAAAATTTATTTATTAGATCTAATAATTTTTTGGTTGAGTCTTTGGAGTTTTCTATGTATGATATCATGTCATCTGAGAATAAATACAGTTTTGCTTCCTCCTTTCCAATTTGAATGCCTTTAATTTCTTCTTCTTGTCCAATTACTGTGGCTAGGACTGCCAGTTCTATGTTTATTTAGAGTGGCGAAGTCAGACATCCCTGTCTTATTCCTGTTCATAAGGGAAGTGCTTTTAATTTTTGTCCATTGAGGATGATGTTAGCTGTGGGTTTATATCAAATACTTTTTCTGCATCTGTTGATATGATCATGTGATTTTTGTCTTTCATTTATGTGATGTATCACATATATTGATTTGTGAATATTGTATCAATGTTGTATCCCTGGGACAAATACCACTTGATAATGGTGTATGATTTCTCTAATGTGTTACTGGATTTGGTTTGCTAATACTTTGCTGAGAATTTTAGCATCTATGTTCATCAGGCATATTGGCCTATAATTTTCTTTCTTTGTAGTGCCTTGATTTGGTTTTGGAATAAGGATAATGCTGGCCTCATAAAACAAACGTGGGTATCTTCCCTTGTCTTGAATTTTTTGGAGTAGTTTGAGGAGAAGTGTTAGTTCTTCTTGGAATGTTTGGTAAAATTTACCTTTGAAGCCATCCAGCCCAGGATATTTTTTTACTGGGAATTTCTTGATTACCCTTTCAATTTCAGTAGGTATAATCTATCTTTTCAGATTCTCTGACTCTCCCTGATATAGTTTTATAAGATTGTATGTTTCTAGAAATTTATCTATTATAACCAGGTTGTCCAATTCTGTGGCATATAGTAGTTTATAATATTTTTTTACAATCTTTTGTATTTCTTTGGTGTCAGTTGTTATTTCTCCTCTTTCATTTATGATTTATTTATTTGGGTCCTCACTCTTCTTTTCTTGATGAGTCTGACTAAAGGTTTGTTAATCTTGTTTATCTTTTCAAAGACCCAGTTCTTGAATTCATTGATATTTTGTATTTTTTATCTCATAATTTATTTAGACTCTGATCTTTATTTTTTCCTTCCTTCAACTTCCTCTGGGCTTTGTTTGTTATTCTTTTTCTATTTCTTTAGGTGTAGGGTTAGATTGCTTGAGATTTTTCATGCTTTTTGAGGTAGGCCCGTAATGCTATGAACTTTTCTTTCAGTACTTACACTGTGTCCCATAGATTTGGGGTTATTGTGTGTTCAGTTTTATTTGTTTCCAGGCAGTTTTTGGTTTCTTTGATCTCATTGTTAATCCATTCATTGTTTAACGTGTGTTTGAATGTTTTTAGTTTTGTTATTGTAGTTGATTTCTAGTTTCATGCCATTGTGATCCAAGAAGATGATTGGTATGATTTCAGTCTTCTTGAATCTGTTAAGACATGTAGTCTGTCTTTGAGAATATTCCATGTGCACTTGAGAAGAATGCATATTCTGCTGCTTTGGGATGAAGTGTTCTGTAACTGTCAATTAAATCCATCAAGTCTAGTGTGATATTTAAGGTTGCTGTTTACTTGTTGATTTTTTGTCTGGTAGGTCTAGCCATTGATGACAGTAGGGTGTTAATATCCCCAACTATGACTATATTGATGGTGAATTCTTTCTTAAAGTCCACCAAGATTTTTTATATATTTAGGTACTTCTGTGGTGGGTGTATAAATTTTTACAAGGGTTATACCTTTGTTGGATTTATCACTTTAGTATTATGTAGTGACCTTCTTTGTTTCTTGTTATGGGCTTTATTTTGAAGTCTGTTTTGTCAGATACAATTATTGCTACACCAACCTTCTTTTTTGTTTTGTTTACATTTGCATGGAACATATTTTTTTATTTCTTCACTTTAAGGCTGTGTATATCTTTTGTTCTGAGGTGGGTCTTATTTATGTTCCTCTATCTCTCTATTGCTGCTTCTTCTTCTAAAGAAGCTGCTCTTCTTCTAAAGAGACTGCTTCTTCTAAAGCAGTCTCTTTAACATTTCTTGTGATACTGGTTTAGTGGTAATGAACTCCTGTAGCCATTTTTTGTCTTGGAAGCTCTTTATTTTACCTTCAATTTTATTTATTTTTGATTTTAGAGAAAGGGGGAGGGAGGATAAGGAGAGGATAGAAATACTGATGTGAGAAACATTGACTGGCTGCCTTCTGTATGTACCCTGGCTGGGGGCCGAACCCACAACCCAGGGATGTGCTCTGACTGGGGATCAGAACAGGGATCTTTTAATTTTTGGTATAGTGCTCAGCCAACTGAGCCACATTGACTGGGGCATGCCTTCAATTTTAAATGAGAGCCTTGCTGAGTAGAGTTATCTTAGTTGCAGATTGTTGCTTTTTCTCTCTTTGAATACTTCTGGCCTGCAGTGTTTCTGTTGAGAAATCAGCTGACAGCCTTATGGGAACTCCCTCATGGGTTACTGTCTCTCGCTGCCTTTAAGATTCTCTGTTTTTAACATTTGCCATTTTAATTATATGTGTCTTTTTATGGGTCTGTTTGGGTTCATCTTGATCTCTGTGCTTCCTGAAATGTGTGACTCTTTGCTTTACCGGGTTAGGGATGTTTTCTCCCATTATTTCTTCAAACAGGTTCTCTTGCTTATACTCTCTTCTTCTTCTCGTATTCCTATGATGTGGATGTTGTTATGCTTGGGGTTGTCACAGAGATTTCTTAGACTTTCCTCATTTCTCTTATTTCTGTCTTGTTTTTCATGTTCTGCTCAGTTACTTATTGTGCTCTTGTCCTCTCATTTGCTGATTAAATCTGTGGAGTTAACCTCTGAGGCTGGGTGACTCTAAGGGTAAACCTCAATTACTGTGTATGAGGTGCTGTTCAGGGGCTGTCCCCTGAGGCAGAGTTGTTCCTGGCAGAATCTGGTGCCTGCTGGAAGCCCCCTTTGGGTGTGCTGCTTGTGTGGCTAGTTGTGTCGAGCTCTGGTGTGGTCTAAAGCCCATCACTGGTTGTGTTGGTTCTGGATCCATTTGGATGGAATTCAGGTACAGGTCACTGTCAGACATTGTGTGTAACTGGTTTGGAGCTACCTGTCTGTATAACACAGGGTTCACTGTTTATGCCTCCATCTGCTGGACCTGAGTGTGCATGGGAGGGACCAATCTGTGCAAAAGGGTTGACTTCCTCCAGCTTAGGGTTGGGGGCAGATCTAAAAGGACTGAGGCTCCCTGAGCTCTGCCTCCGCCTGTTAGCTACTCTGCCTTCCCTGTGGTTGGCAGGGTCTAGCTCCAGAGCTTTCCAAAGAAAGACTGTAGGATGAACTCAGGCTAGTTACAATCCACAGCCCCTTTCTCAGGTCAAGAGCTTGGTAGGGCAGATCAATTAGGGAGGGGAGGACAGGGCTAGTGGATCTTCTTCTTGAAGGTCACATAGTCAGGCACTCAATGAGGGGAAATTGACGGGTACTTCAAAGCCACACCGCTCAGTCTCTGTTAGAGTCTCTAACTCTAGTTCCCTGTAGGGGAACTCACTGCAGGCTCACTGTAGGCTCACTGCAGGGCAGCCAGCTGTTCCCTCTGCAGGAGTAAGCTCAGCCACACTGGGCTCGGGGGGATAGATCAAAAGAGTCTGCTGTTAGGGATGATGCCAGCCCAGCCTGCCGGAGGGAGCTAAACACTTTGTCCTGTTTCAGTCAATAACCTCCGAGGGTCACACACTTTGAATGTCCCCACTTTGAGCCGCTCTCCCTTCCCTCAATTGACCTGGAACCAGCAGGGTTATCCAGGAATTGGCAGGGCTGATCCAAACAGTCTCCTATTGGGAGTGGTACCAACAAGCCTGTAGGAGGGAGGTGGGCACTTCTTTGTTCAGGGTAGCATGAGCTGAACTCTCAGGGGAGTTTGTATTTGCCTCCCTGCAATGTAGCCACATAGTTCAGCACTTGTACCTCTGGTTCCCAGACAGAAGCCTCCCCAAGGGACACAGTCTAAAAATCCTAGTTCTGAATGGCTCCCTGGTCCCCTGTGCCCCAAACCAATCAGGACGCGACTGATGGTCAGCCTTCCCAGCACTCCAGTCTCTCCAAGTGGCAGGTCTCAGCAGGGCAGGGCTGAAAGTCCCAGCTCCACAAGGCTCCTCAGTACTGCCAAACCCAGCAGGACAGGGACCAAAGCTCCCAGCTCTGCATGGCTCCCATGCACTGCAAAACTCAGCAGGATTGGGAAGGCTGAGTGCCTCAAAAGCTCAGGGGAGGGGTACCAGCTGTGCACTGGAGGTGGAGGAGACTGACCCTCTTTCTCAAGACACACAGTTTAGTCACTGTCTGGGTCTTCAGCAAAAGCCTCCCCAGAAAAAAGGAGGTTCCCTTAAAGTTGCCGCTGGCTGTAGCCAGCAGACCCCTCCACAGTCCCCCATCTATGGCCTCACCAACAGTTGTAATCTAGACCACAACTCCCTAGGCTGGTGCTGTAATAATAGGAGTGCTCTTCCCTGGGAGAGTGCCGTCTGACTCCCCCAGGCTGACTGAATCCCCACTGATTTTCACTGCCAGGTGCTACGTGGGCTCCTCTTCCCATCTCTGTTGCTCTGGGTCAGGGATTCCTGTGTGGGGTTGAGGCCCCTTGCTCCAAGGGGGAGGGAGTTTTGCAGCTGCAGTATCCCTGCAGCTTCTCAACCACCTCCAACCCTGAGTGTAAGGAGGTGAGGGGCAGGGCACACTTTGCCTTACCCCTCTTTGCCCTTCTTAGCAGTTGCTGTGTGACTTCTATAAATCCTTGGTTATATTTCAGGTCAGCTACCCTTCAGTTGGTTGTTCAGGTTGATGGCTCCATAATTTAGCTGTAAATCTGGTTTGGGCCAGAAGCAGGTGGGTGCAGCTTCTACCTACTCTGCAGCCATCTTGGAATTCCAGAAATTTTTCATTGGTTACAATGTTTCATATTTATATTTATAACATCCCTTTGATTTAATGTTATCTCGTTCAAAATGTGAACTGTAATATATATAATTAAAATTATTAATTTATTGCAATTCTTGGCATCTAGTAAATGCTATGAAGAAATAGAAGGTAAATTCATCTTATCATTAATATAAATATTAATTTTCACTTTTTGAAATGTTAACATACAGTGATTTGCCTTGAGACCATTGTGGAAGTAGTCAAATGTCTTTCATAAAAAATTTATTTCGCATACTGTATTTTTGCTGTTTGATAGATTTAGCTGTGATTTAAATTAAGATTTGAGTTTTTCATGAAAGATAGGATCCTTGTGTTTAAAAAGGCTACCCCCTTTTAACAGTGTTTTTAAGGTTCTGCTAATAAGATTATGACTTCTTTTTTTTTAATGCTATGAGACCAAAAACATAATGAAATGTTTCTCTAGGTTATAGAAGAGCGAAATGACATTCAAAGGCAACTTTCTCAAGAGCAGAATGCCAGAACATTGCAAGATGGAATCTTGAACAATCACCTTTGCAAACAAAAGGAGATACAGATAGCTCATGACAAAATAAATTCTGAGGTATTTTGCTTAGTCAATTGCAAATACTCTTGTGTATGTATTTAAAAAACCAATACTGTACATATGGAAAATAGAGAGGATTTTAAAAGTATGTGTGTGTGTGGAGAGACAATTTTAAAAATATCTGTGTATATATATACACACACACACACACACACACACAGAACCCATATATATATATACACACACACACAGAATCCTGAATTTATGTTTTTAACCTCTTTATTCCACATTGTAGTAACTCAGTGAGTTCATTGATGTATATAGGAGTTCTTAGTACAATGCCTAGATGACCATTTATTAATACATGTAATTTTTATAACTGACTGTGAAAGTATTAGAAAAATTGAATATTTAAGAAATGTTCTAGGAAAACAATTATAGGATATTTAATCCACCCAAATGTATGCAGAGTGAAAACTCGTACTGTGGGGTTCTGTATATTCAGACTGTAAGTGCAATTTTTAAATAGGGTGGCATTTTTGGCCTGCTGGTTAAAATTATATTCTTAATTCAAGTCCATTTGTTTCCCATACTGAAGTAGTGACATTCACTATGGCCTCATGCAAAGAGATGCTTCTGATATTTTCCATAAGATTGATGAGCTTTCCATGATCTCAAAAATATTGCTATTAACAACAGATATTCCAATTTTTAGAAGTGGTTTCATTCCCTTGATATAGTAAAAGAGAGGTTAATTTTCACTTCCACTGATAGTAAGGAGGAAAAGTATAGCCAATTCAGAGACCATGTTTTAGATGTCATTCTCCTACTTTTGAGAAAAGTAACGGTTTTCTCCAAGTAGTATCCCATTTTAATACAAGGAGCTTTTGAAAACAATGATATGCCATAATGTACCATGAGAAATAAAAAAAAAAAATTATCTTCTGAAGGAGGGGCCCCTTGCAGTACAGGCTTCCCTGCTAGGTGAGTGTTCTAGGAACCCATTCATATCAGTGTACCAGCAGGTGTTGTTGTGAGAGGCTGTGTTCCGCTTCAGTGAATTTATTTTTAAGACTCTTTTAACATATTTTCCCATTTCATGATGGGTGATTTACGAGTACACCTGCCTACACCACGCTGTTTTCAGCAGTTTTTGACCAAAAAGGCATGACCCCTGTGCCCCACCCTTCCTATTCACCTGATCTCAGAGTAACTCCTTTTTTGTTTCCCCGGATGAAAAAAAAGCCCTCAGAGGGAAATGTTTTACTGTTGTAGAAGAGGTGAAACAAAAAATGGCAGAAACACTAAAAGACATCAAAATTGACAAGTTCAAAAACTGTTCTGAGTAGTGGAAAAAGTGTCCCAATAGGTGTATTGCATCAGATGAAGAGTACTTTGAAGGTGACTGAAATTTAAACATGTGAGCATAAACACGCAATTTTTTATAAATAAATTTCATTTTGGGGTCCCCCCATACACTTAGTGATAATTTATTGATAAATATTTTATCCCTAGTAAAGTAATTCAGCATATTTTTCTCCCATTTCATAGTTATTACTACTTTAAACATTATGAAGAGGAAATAAAAGTTATTGCAGCAGCAAATAATCTCATGATTTTCAAAGTATAGCTCTACAAATTTTGCCTTATATTATGCCTTTAGTGTTTTGAAATATAAGGCTTCTTTTGTTTAACCTCTCCATTCCAGATTGTGATAACCAAATGAGTTCATGTATAGAGATATGGTTAGAACAATGCCTAGATTATCAGTTTTTAGTAAATTTAGTGTTTATAACTATAAAATTACAAGTAGAATATCTATGGAATATTCACAGGAAAAAATAATTAGGAAATCTAATCCATCCAAATATATGTAGTGTTAATACTCTTACTCTGGGGTAGCTGTGTGTTCAGACTGTACATTCAGTTTTTAAGTGTAGTCAAATTTATTAATCTTTTATGCCTTCTGGGTTTGTTGTAATTCAGAGATTCTTAATATTTCTCTCAGGATTCCTTTTTTAATTTCATGGATTTATCATTTTATATTAAATTTCTGAACTTTGGGGAATTTATACTTATACAAATTCGGAGGTTTGGCTTCAACTCTGTTTTTTCCAGTGGGATATACACTTATTGCAACCTTTTATTATGTAAACACATATGTTACTCTTTAATATCAGAAGATATCATGATATGTCATTTCAGTGAGTGTTAACTACACGTCTCCTTTATTTTTCTTAGGTTTCTAATAATTATGAAAAAGAAAAAAATCTGTTGCATGAAAACCATATGTTACAGGATGAAATTGCTACACTAAGACTGGAAATAGACACAGTAAAAAATCAGAACCAGGAAATGGAAAAAAAATACTTTGAGGACATTGCAGTTGTCAAAGAAAATAATGACCTTCTTCAAAAGACAATAAAAGTGAATGAGGAAACATTTACAAAAACAGTATCCCAATGTAATGGGCAGCTTCATGTTCTGACAGCTGAGAATACAATACTAAAGTCTAAACTGGAGACTGAAAAACAAAACAAAGAAATACTGGAAACAGAAATTGAATCATACCGGTCGAGACTGGCTACTGCTGTACAGGATCATGAGCAAAGTGAGACATCAAAAAGAGACCTGCAACGTGATTTCCAGAGAGCAAGAGATGAATGGTTTCGTTTACGGGACAAAATGAATTGTGATATGTCTGACCTGGAAGATAGAAATGAGATGCTTTCTCAGCAACTTTCTAAAGCTGAAAGTAAATTCAATAGCCTAGAAATTGAGCTTCATCACACAAGAGATGCTCTCAGAGAAAAGACTTTGGTTTTAGAAGGTGTACAGAGAGATCTAAGCCAAACACAGTGTCAAAAGAAGGAAATTGAACACATGTATCAAAAGGAACAGGGTAAAGTGAATAAATACATTGGAAAACAGGGCTCCTTAGAGGAGAGGCTATCTCAACTACAGAGTGAAAATGTGTTGCTTCGACAGCAGCTAGATGATGCTCACAATAAAGCTGACAGTAAAGATAAGACAGTAATTAACATTCAAGATCAGTTTCAGGATATCATAAAAATATTTCAAGCTGAAAGTGAAAAACAAGCTCTTATGTTGAATGAAAGAAATAAGGAGTTAATCAATGAATGCAATCATTTAAAAGAAAGAATGAATCAGCATGAAAATGATAAAGCAGAAAGAGACGTAAGTATCCAAAATGATAAGCATTTTTCAGATTTCTTTAAAAAATTCAAATATTGTATTAGATGATGGCTAAATGTTCCGTCTATAGTTGAACATTAAAAATATAGAGATTATAACTGTGTTTGCTCTATCAACTCAAAAGCAGATGTTGTATCCTACAAAGGAAAATTAGACCTGAGAGGTGTTTTATTTTGAGTAAAGACATTGTTTTACCTATGAAATGTTAAGAGGGTAAATCATAGATTGTTAATAGATATAGATTGATATTAATTATTTAGTCTTATACTGATATGATATTAATTTTAATCTGTCACCACATTTTAATACCATTATAAAGCAGATAAGTAGAAATGCTCATACCTAAAAATGAGTATTTTGAAATTAAGTTTCAACTAAATGGATTATCTTGACAGTTAATTTCAGATTTCCCAGATAAACCAAAGTGTAGACTCTGTATCTCATAGTACCTTTCTTTCAGTGACTTCTTATACATTTTAGTTGGTTAATGTTATTCATGTCAATTTGAATTAAACTTGGACATATTTCAGTCTTGAGTAATGTAATCTTATAACCTCTCAACTCTTTAAAAACATGTACTTTTCATTAAATCATAATTTGAGACAAATGTGATGAGTTTTAGCAACTGCCCTTGATTTAATCTTTCTACTTTTACATTTTCTTTGAATATTTTTACAAATAATTTGCTCATATTTCTCATTTCAAGACCCAATTACTATCATATGGAGATAAGTTTGCATGGTACAGAGAGAATGGTAGTTCTCTGTGATTTATTAATTTGGCATTGACTCTCCAATTCAGACTAGTGAGGGGTGGCAGGGTTTATGCGTAGCAGGGAGGGAGGTCAAGGCCAGATGACCTAGTAAATAGGAATGTGTCCATATGAAGAAAATAAGGTGAAATGATATATGTGGTGATATTTTTCCTGTTATATATTATGTTATAATATATGATTCTAAAAAAGCACAAACAAGGTGGGGCAAAAGTTAGGTTTACAGTTGTTTATATGGAAAATGATATAATAATAAATACTAACACAAGAATAAACTCTTTGTTTTTTGTACTTACAACTATAAACCTTCTTTTGCCCTATTCTGTATGTGAAGTTATATATTATTAACATAATTAACTAATAGTGTGATTTATAAACTCAATAACAGAAATATCTTACTAGGCAATGGTGAGACAACTTCAACAAGAACTGGCTGACACCCTAAAAAAACAATCTATGTCAGAGGCTTCACTGGAGGTTACATCACGTTATCGTATGGATTTAGAAGAAGAAACACAGGATTTAAAGAAGAAATTAGATCAAATCAAAAGTCAAGTATGTATAAAATTGAACTTGTCATCAGTTAATCTATAGCTTATTAAATAACATAAAATGTTTTAAATAATACTAATTTGCATGGGCAGCTTTCTTTCTAGTTTTATTATAATTAATTTATTATAAATTTATTTTCTTTGTAATACACTTATTTCTTTTTTAAGGTATATTTTATTCATTATACTATTACAGTTGTCCCAATTTTTGCCCCTTTATCCCCCTCCCTCCAGTACCTCCCTTTCCTCCAACAGTCCCCCCCTTAGTTTATGTCCATGGGTCATGCATATAAGTTCTTTAGCTTCTCTGTTTCCTATACTAAACATCCCCCTGTCCATTTTATACCTACCAATTATGCTTCTTAATCCCTACACCTTTTCCCCCTTTCCGCGATAACCCTTCACTTGATCTTCATATTTATGATTCTGTACCTGTTCTAGTTGTCTGCTTAGTTTGTTTTTGTTTTTGTTTTTTTTAGATTCACTTGTTGATAGTTGTGAGTTTGTTGTCATTTTATGTTCATAGTTTTGATCATCCTTTTTTAAATAAGTCTCTTTAATAGTTCATATAATAAGGGCTTGGTGATGATGAACTCCTTTAGTTTTACCTTGTCTGGGAAGCACTATCTGCCCTTCCATTCTAATGAAAGCTTTGCTGGATAGAGTAATCTTGGTTGTAGGTTTGCTTTTCATCACTTTGAATACTTCTTACCATTCCCTTGCCTGCAAAGATTCTTTTGAGAATTCAGCTGATAGTCTTATGGGAACTCCTTTGTAGGTAACTCTATGCTTTACTTTTGCTAATTTTAAGATTTTACCTTTAACTTTTGGCATTTTAATTATGATGTGTCTTGGTATGGTCTTCTTTGTGTTCATCTTGTTTGTGACTCTCTTTGCTTCCTAGACTTGTATGTCTATGTCCTTCACCAAATTAGGGAAGTTTTCTGTTATTATTTTTTCAAATAAGTTTTCAATTTCTTCTTCTTCTTCTTCTCATTCTGGTATCCCTGTGATTTGGGTATTGGCACTTCTGGAGATGTCCCAGAATCTTCTTATTCTCTTCTTGTTTTTTTTTTTTAAATTCTTGTTTCTTCATTCTGTTCTGCTTGATTGTTTATTTCTTCATTATGTTCCAAATCATTGATTTGAACCCCAGCTTCCTTCCTTTCACTGTTGGTTCCGTGTGGATTTTTCTTTATTTCACTTAGTGTATCCTTCACTTCTTCCCTTATGCTTTTGACATACTCAGTGAGTTCTCTGAGCATCCTGATCACACCAGTGTTTTAAACTCTGCATATGATAGGTTGACTATCTCCATTTTGCTTAGTTCTTTTTCTGGGGTTTTGTTCTGTTCTTTCATTTGGGCCACAGTTCTTTGTCTCCTCAATTTGGCAGCCTCCCTGTGTTTGTTTCTGTCAAGGTAGAGCTACTTTGACTACCTGTCTTAGCGCACCTGTTAAATTGTATGAGGCGGAGCCTTAGGTATTCACCAGGGCGGGGTAACCCACTTCCCTGCTTTGTGGCTCTGTATGAGGGGAAGGGGACAATGCCAGTGCCTGGCTGCTGGAGGCTTTGCTTGGCAGTCGCCTCATTCCCAGTTACTTTACCCCCTTTCTGTGTGCTACTGGTGCCCCTCTACCTGCTGCCCCTGTGGTGGTGGTTCCCAGAGGGGGTGGGTTTGCTTGCATTCTAGGACCATGCGGGCTCTTTAAACAGATTCTCCTGAGAGACTGGCAGTTTCTCCCACACCCCCAACCCCCACTGATTTTTATAACCAGAAATTATAAGGCTTTATTTTCCCAGCACTGGAACCCTGGGCTGCACTGTCTGGCCTGGGACTGGGATCACTCATTCCGAAGGTATCCCTCCTGATTTTTATCCACCACATGTGAACGTGGGACTGCCCATTCTTCCAGCTGCCACCGCTACTGCCTTGCTGCCACCACACTGCGTCCTCTCTGCCTCAGCTCTCTGTCTCTGCTCTTCCTACCCATCTGGATGAATATAACTTCTTTAAATCCTTGGTTGTCAGGCTTCCATATAGTTTGGTTACCTGTTACCTCAATCAATTATAGAACACTTTCATTGCTCCAAAAACAAACTCCACATCCTGTAGCTGTCACTCCCAGCTTTGCATCTCCCCTGCCACCAGGCACAACCAGTGCACTTTCTGTCTCTATAGATTTGCCTGTTCTGGATAGTTCACACACATAGAACCACACAACATGCAGTATTTGTGACTGGCTTCTTCCCCTTAATGTCACATTTTCAAGATTCAAGCATATTATGGTACATCAATATTTTATTTATTTCTTTGTATTGTGGAACAATACTTCATTGTGTGGCTAAGCCAATTATCCATTCATCAGGCAATGAAACCTTGTGTTGTTTTCACTTCCTGGCTGTTCTGTGAACATGAATACAGAGGTTGTTGTGTGAACCTATGTTTTCATCTCCCTGCCATTGGATTTAATTGGGCTGATTTCAGCATCTCCTGAAATGCTGTCTATTCTGTCTTTTCAGTTTCTATTCCTCTTGCCTAATCTGACATCCCTTTGGACCTGGCTCCCAACCTCCCTTCTCCATGAAGTGTTCTCTGACTGCTCTAACTCTCGTTGACCTCACTCTTTCCAGCACTTGTCATCTTTTCTGTGCAGAACGATTTAGCCCCAAATTTTACATTGATTTATTTTTTTTCCATGAGACATAATCTTGTGTTTCTAAGTATAAATTTGTCTGTGGGGTATATTATTTGATATGATGGCCTTATCTTTGTATATGAGTAAATTGAAAATATTTTAGCTTAGCTATTGGTAGGATAAAATTACTCTATACCACACCAATACTGTCTTCTTGGAGACTGATATAATTAAACTTTTATTCTTGATGTATTTTAAGCAATTAAGTATAAATATAATAGATAATTGGAATTAAATATAATCAGAAGCTCATTTTTTTACCCTCATGTAAGGGAAAAAAATAGCAATCAGCCTTCCTTCACTGTGCAGCCAGAACTGGGATTTAGAGATTTATAGCACTTTACCAACTGTAAATCTCTGGGAAGGGCTTTTCTGATACGCCATTCCACATCACTTTAATCTGCTCATCAGAGTACTTGTCTAAGCAGCCCGACATAACCAGTGGCTAGGGATGAGTGGGTCTGGGAACTTTGATTTAGCATGGAGCCCCTTATCTTCGTGTCAATGGCTTTACCCTGCCTGTCAGGTCATGTGCATGATGCACTCAACCCCGGAGGTGCTATTTGCATTGCTCGTGATTATCACCCGCTGAGTAGTACAGAGAGGAAGTAAGTTATAAATTGTTATAAGCAGAAAGGTACTGTTGACGAGTGGCCTTGGTGAAAGCTTTCTGAAGCACTGGGGATATAGCCTGGGCCTCATGCTCCCCATTGGCTTCCCTTGTCAGTGGTATGAAGAATGATTTCATTGTAACTTGTACAAGAGGCCACCTCCATTGCCATCTGCCTGAAGTATAAAATTTTATTAGAACTTAATATACAGCAACAATAATAGTGTAGACCCTTAGAGTTTATTATGGGCCATGTACTCTTCTAATTACTTTACATATATTCCGTAATTTAATCTTCCCAAAATCACAGTGAGGTAGATGGCATTATTATCTCTATTATACAGATGAAGAAACTGAGACACAGAAAGTTTAAGTGATTTGCTCAAGGAGACACAGCTAATAACTGGAGGTTGTGGGAATCAAACCCAGGCATTCTGGCTCCCATGTAGGTACTACCTCTGAGGCTATTCAGTGGAGCATCTCGTTGTCACTGAAAGTAGCATGTTAACTTTGATAATCACTGGAATAGCCATGCTCATTCACATTTGTGAATGTTTAAACTTGTACTTGAGGTGGTGCTTGGAATACAAAGAATGAATGTTTATCATAATTTTCTATTTTTCCCATTTGACCAGTTTATAAATTTGTATATTTATCTGATAAAATATAAGTTAAGAACATGAGTAATGATTTAGTTTGAGTACTAAAGAAGTGGTTGGTGATCTTTCCTGTAAAGGACCAGGTCGTAAATATTTTAGGCTGTTTGGTCCATGAAGTCTCTGTTGTCACATCTCAGCTCTGCTGTTTTGGCACCAGGTAGCCATAAAGAAAATGTAGATGAAAGTGTGTGCTTGTTGCCCAATAAAAGTTAAATTACAAAAACAATTAGATTTGTACTAGATTATCAATAGTTAAAAGTATTTTTTTTCTTTATTTTAGTTACAAGAAGCAGAGGATCAATGTGCAGCGGCCGAAAGATATGCTGAGGAGACACAAGATCACATGCAAAAGTATAAAGCAGCACAGAAAATAACATGAGTGTTTATAAAGCACATGAGGAGTGTAGTATGAGAACTAGATCAGTTACCATAAGAAATACATCAGTGTCAAGCTGAATAAATATTTCAGTTTTGAAATATTTTAAAATGCATAATTTGTGTACATTACTTCTAAATTTTGCAGATTTACACAAAATACAACTAGAAAAATAGCACAATTGCCAATTCATCTACTTTTCAAATTTTAAGACTATGTAATTGCACCTTTAGATGTTTATTCAGAAATTATCTGATATCTTTTGAGTTGATATGTGAAAATAATTATTTTAAAATGTACATTGTAGGTTTGAAATTGAAAATGCCAACTTAAAAGCTACAATCAAAGAGCAATCGCTGAAAATTGAACAGCTTCAGACAGTCCTGGTAGGTGAAAATTTGGTAAGTCAGTCTCTTAATTTCCACCATATAAAAAGGAATTTTTATTTCTCTAGTAGTAGTATATAAAATATTTGGGGCAATATGAAAAGTCATTGTTAAAAATATTTGTTATATTCATATAATACTTGTTACTAGTAATGTAATTCCTGTTTATAAAGGAATTGAATTCATAAAATTATAATTATTTTTCTAGTAAGATTTTAATTAAAAAGATTGTGGTAGTCTAGAGGCAATATTTGACATATACCACATTTTGTTTATGCATTCATTTGTTCAACATTTAGGCCTTTTGGCTATTGTTGATAATGCTGCTGCTATAGACATTGGAATACAAATGTTTGTTAGAGTCCAGAAATTTGAGTAATGATTTAATGTAGAATTCTGAATTTCTCTTGTAATCTAAATCCTTCAGAGATTTTGAGAATGAATTGCTTTTAATGTTGTAATATGTTCTCTTCATCAAGAATGAGTACTAAGTCATCATGTGTTTTGTGAAAGGAGTGCATTTTTTCCCTTTGCTGGATTTTGAAAAAGAAAAGAGATGCCAGTGAAAAATAGAAATGGCTGCTCAATCAGGGCCTTACATAGCAACATAGTGCTCCTAGCATTGCAAGCTTAGAGACTATTCACTTGTGTTAATCAGCCTTTCAAAGACTGACAATCCCGTCTCAGAAAAGATGGCTGTGTAACCCAGGACTCCAATTAACTGGTGAATGGTGAAAACTACACAGCTATTTACTAATTATAACAGGATTCTTCTGCCATTCATACTTTCCTCTGTAGGAGAGGCTACCTATTATTTAAGATCAGAAGACTGCATTGTGAACCCGAAGTTGGAGGTTGATACACCTACCAGCTAGTTTCTTTCTGTCACAACAGCTCAGTCCATGCAGTTTCAATATACAAACATACCTATCAGGGGAACTAGAACATTGTGTTGACTGGTTCTTCTTGCGGATGAAGAACCATTGAAAATTATTTTTTAGACTTTATATGAGTAAGTCATGTTGTACTAGCGTACTTTTCATACAAATGAAATGATAATGTATTGATAAGGAGTCTTCTGTGAATTAGAGTGCCAGGTGGTGTCACCTTACAGTGTCATACAGAAATCTATAAGGTATCAAAAACTGAAAAACATGTAAGAATTCCCAAAATTGATGAGCTTATGCAAAAATAATAGGGGATTTTTTTGTAGATACCTATAGAAATGAATTAGATTTATGACATGGAATCATTAGCCACCATAAGGTCTACTCTGTGAGTCAAAAATTTAATAAGACAACTTCCCACCAATTTTGGTCAATAGCCCTAACTTCTCTAGAAGGTTCTCACGTCATGACTCCCCAGACCTGAGACTACGTGGGCTGAGATAGTTGATCAGCACAATGCCAAGGTGGAGAATCTGAACTGGCAAGAAGATGATAGCTCTGGCTTTGTCAAGCTTTCAAACAATGTAGTTGAGTGTGCATATGAAAACAACTTCAGAAGGGTTCCATAGATCAGGTATCTATGGAATAGGAAAATATTTTTTTAATAAAGGCAAATAATTAATAATCTGATGCTTGTAAAATGTTTTGTATTATAAGAGAAAAACAACACAGTATTCTGGTCAACATTCTGAGGGGGAGGGTGCTCCTAAGATCAGAAAGTACTACCACACTCAAAGTAACACCAATGAGAATCAACATAAATTGTACAAGATTAGCTATCCACAAAGGAAATCCCTACAAAGTCATGGTTTATGAGTGTATGGTTGAGGATACTGTCTATGAGAAACTAGAAGGGAGAAAGAACAGGACAGATAACCTCAGGAAAGGGGTCATTGCTGGAAATGTTGATTAGGGAATCTGGTTTGAAGTGTTGAGATTTAAGGAACTCTGACTTTAAAAAAAAAAAGAATAGAAAGAGTCCAGGACTCGTTCATTAGGGTCACTGTTTAGAAATGAATTGGGGTTAGAGGAGCAGAGGGAGGGTCACCATTACCAGTTGCTGCTGAGAAGTAAAGCAGGATAAGGACTGAAAAAAAGGTGACCCTCAGAAATTTGTTAGTGCAATTATAGAATTGGAAGTCAGGTTCTTGTGTAAAAGAAGAGAGGAAGGGTGGAAGTATGAGTATGTGGATGAGACCTTGTATTAAAGGATATTAAAGTTGAAGAGATGGGAAAAACTGCAAGAATGAAGTAAAAGTGATGTTTTTGTAAAATGTAGAGAGACAAACTTTATTTAAAGAGAAAAGGAAACACCTTGCTCTTCAAATAAAGAGAAGCCGAACCCTGGAACAATGCTCCCAGAGAGCGGGAGTCTCTGTCTCATGCTGACGTCAGGCTGTCATCCGAAGGTGATGGGGTTGCATGGGAGTTTCCAAAGATTATTTTAGTAAGATGTGCTTTAACAGAATCTGGCCTATCTTGAAATATTGGTGAAAATATTTCTTGGGCATCTTTAGAAATTAAAATGTCTGTGTAGCCACTCTCTTAAAAATATTTAATACTTTGTATTTTACATGTAAAAACCTCCATTTTAACAAATTTTGGCAATTTGAGTTCCAGAGAGAAAATGATGAAAATGTAAAGTCAATTTAAGCTGCAGTAAGGAGTCATTAGTTTTGAAATCTGTTCATATTGGCATCATGTTTAAAAACTCCATTTTATAAACCTGTCTACACATATTATTCATGAACTCATGATACATAATAAGAAAGATGAGTGAATGTCTAGATTTTTGAAAATAATTTTATTTAAAATGTTTTTCAAAGTCTCAGGATGAAAGGGAACAATTAAAGAAATATATTAAATTAAAACAATCTCTGGAATATAACTTGGATCAAGAAATGAAGAAAAATAGTGAATTAGAAAAAGAGATAACCGGGTAAGACTTTAATATTTCAGATCATTTCTACATTAAGATTTAACTGTCATTTTACTTTATTAATACTGAAGTACAAATTTACTCTCTATCTGTGATTTTCATAATTATATTTTCCTATTTAAAAATTTACTTCACCATCTCACAGCACAATCTGAAACTTTTTTAATGCCAAAAGATTCTGCTTACTCTTTAATGATTCCTAAAACAATAATGAGAACACTTTTTGCATACCCTGTAAACTGCACTTTTCACATCTACCTTGAATTTTTATTTCTGCAAGATATTTTTGCTGTCTTAGGTAATCTTTCCTCTTTTAGTGGTATGCTTTTCTTCAGCATTCAGATAGTTTAATACCTGGAAACTCATCTGTGTCATTGTTTAACAGTCTTAAAAGTGATCTTCATTTGGTTCATTTTCTTCTTTTTAGTTATAAAATATATGACACATACAAAAATGTACATACAACTTAAAGAAGCTGAGTAATCCTGTTTTTACCACTCATATAAAAAAGTAATGGCATCTTTCCCAATGTCTGGGAAGCCCCCACAGCCTTCCTTTCTGTTTATTCACCGAGTGTTCCAGTTTGTTCTCTGTTTCTCATCAGTGTTTTTCTTCTCATTTAAGTGTCTTTCTCTACATTGCTTTGTTTCCCGTTCACTCTGTTAACATTGTGCTAGCAAATGTCGCCTCTTAAAACAGTCTTCTGCAACCCTGCCCCTTTCCCAATTTCCCTTCAACTAAAACTTCAAAGATTTTTCTTTCCTGCTTCTCTTTCTGTTTTGAATGATCTCCTTCATGTTTTCCACTGGTACTTTTCTTCTTTTAAACTGTCATCATTAGGTAACAAAATATATTTTTGTGTCTTTCAAAACATTGGCATATAATTATGCTTTTCTTCTCCACTTTGGATTCTGATCTCTGGTTTCTAGTTGATATTTAATAATAGGTTAATGTTTTATATTAACATATGAAAATGAATATTAATAACGTAAGAACTCTGTGGTTACAATATTAACACTATATCATATGTAATGAATTTTTTCATTTTATTTACATAAGATAATAATTTAGATAATGTGCTTTCAAACTATTAAATTGGAACAAATGAAAAGATTATAATTTATAGATTTGTTTATTTTATATGACAGGACATAATATCTGTTAAAATAATTATTAAGTATTTACCTTAAAGAATTTGACTTATTTTGTGCATTTCTGCAGATTTAAGAAACTCTTAAAAATTACAAAAAGGAAGCTAAGTGAATATGAAAATGGAGAGCTTAGTTTCCCTGGAGATTTAAAACCAAATCAAATTGAAGTGGATATTCAGATTAATATGTTAAAACATAAGGTAATTTTTAATTAGTTTTGGGACCCTAAAATCACCTAATTTGGGGAATTATATATCATTCAGTGCTTTGAACAGTGAAATACATATTTTTCTACTAGTTTTTAGACGCAATGTCAGTGAAAGAGCTTTTTTGTTATTTTACTGTATAAAAGGATTACTGCTAACTCTCCTGTGCCCCAGCAAGGACCATACCATGATAGGAGCCCAAGCACTGGCATGAGATCCAAACAATTTTTGGTTAGCAGCTTTATTGAAATATAATGAGTATACTCCACAGTTCACTCATTGACAGTGTGTACTTCGGTGGCTTTTTGTATATTCAGAGTTACATAGTCATCATCATAATCAATCTGAGAACATCTTCATCTCCCTAAAGAGTAACCCTGTGCCCTTCAGCAAACACCCTGTGCCAGTTTCCACGTCCACACTCTCTCTAGCCTTCAGGAGCCACTGCTATACTCTCTGTCTCCACAGGTTTGTCTCTTCTGGGCCTTTCATATCAGTGGAATCACATAATATGCCGTCCTTCGTGACTGCCTTTTTAATTTAGCATAATGTTTTTAAGGTATCATTAGTACTTAATTTCTGTTTATTGATGAATAACATTTCATCATATGTAGTAACCACAATATTTTATCTATTCATCATTTGATGGACCTGTGGATTGTTTTCACTCATTGACATTGTTAATAATGCTGCTGTGAACACTCACAGCCAAATTCTTAAGTGAACCTATGTTTCTGTTCTCTTGGGAATATATTTATAAATAGAATAGCTGGTCATATCTTTAAACTGTTGAGGTACAGCCAGACTGTTTGCTAAAGCGGCTGTACCATTTTCATTTTTATTTGCAGTGTAAGGTTTCCAATTTGTCCACATTCTTGCCAACACTTGTCATTACCTATCTTTTGATTATAGCCATCCTAGAGAGAGTGAAATAGCATCTTATTGTGGTTTTGATATGCAATTTTCTAGTGACTAATGGTGTTGACTGTCTTTTCACATGCTTATTATCCATTTGTATATCTTATTTGAAAAAGTGTCCATTCAATTATTTTGCCTGTTTGAAATGATTTTTTATTATTGAATTGTAAGATTTTTTTATATATCCTAGATACAAACCTGTTATTAGATACAAGATTTTTAAATATTTCTCCCACTCATTAGATTACCTTATCACTTTCTTGATAGTATCCTTTAAAGCACAGAAGTTTTTGATTATGATGAAGTCTAGGTAATCTACAGTATTTTTGTCTTTTGGTTTCACATCTAAGAAAAATATCCAAATCCAGTCATGAAGATATACACCTGTATTTTCTTCTAAGAGTTTTATAGTTTTAGGTTTTACATTTTGAGGTAATTTTAATCTATGGTATGAAGTAGAGGTCTAATTTTATTCTTTTGCATGCAAATATCCAGTTGTCCCAATGCCATTTGTTAAAAAGACTATTCATGTCTGATTTAATTGTTTGATACCCTTCTTGAAAAGCACTTAGCCATAAATGTGAGGGTTAATTTTTGTATTCTCCTGTCTAACTCATTGATCTGTATGTCTGTCCTTATTCCAGTACTGAATCAAAGTTTATGAGAACTCTTTCCTGGTCATCTTGCATATTACCAGTTTTATGTAATATTAAAGTCAGTGTAGTGGAATGTCCTTAACTCTACTTTTGTGAAGATCTTTTGCCTCTTAATGCTAGTTCTGATGTGATGGGCAAGTAATCTTACAGAGATAATATTCATTCCTCTTTTTCTCCATTTAAACCTTTAGTCTCTAACCCAGTGCCTCTAACTTCATTCCTATTCCATTAAATCCTGGTAACAGGGTCTGCTGACTTAGCCATTTATTTCATTGTGTTTAACTCATAATTCATAGACTCATTGACAGATTTCACTGCCCCTCTTCAGTAAATGGTATTGGCAAAACCAGACAGATACATACAAAAAAAAATGAAACTAGACCACCAAATACACCATACACAAGAGTAAACTCAAAATGGATTAAAGACTTAAATGTAAGTCATGAAACCATAAAAATCCTAGAAAAAACATAGGCAGTAATATTTCAGATGTTTCTCTTAGCAGTATTTTTGCTGATATATCTCCTGGACAGGGAAAACAAAGGAAAAAATAAACATATGGGACTACATCAAAATAAAAAGCTTTTGCACAGCAAAAGAAGTCAACAAAATGAAAAGAAAACCCACTGAATAGAAGAACACATTTACCAATGATCCATCTGATAAGGGGTTAATATCCAAAATATATAAAGAACTAATACAACTCAACATAAAGGAGACAAACGATCGATCCAATTAAAAAATGGGCAGAGGACCTGAATTAACACTTCTCCAACAAGGACATACAGATGGCCAGCAGACATATGAAAAAATGCTCAACATCACTAATCATCAGAAAGATGCAAATTAAAACAACAATGAGATATCCCCCTCACACCAGTCAGAATGGCCATCGTCAATAAAACAACAAACAACAAGTGCTGTTGAGGATGTGGGGGAAAGGGAACCCTAGTGCACTGTTGGTGGGAATGCAAACTGATGCAACCACTATGGAAAGCAGTATGAAGATACCTCAAAAAATTAAAAATGGAACTGCCTTTGACCCAGCAATCCTACTTCTGGGAATATATCTGAAAAAACCCAAAACACACACTCTGATGTTTTTAGCAGCAATATTTACAATAGCCAAGAGCTAGAAACAGTCCAAGTGTCCATCAGTAGATGAGTGGGTAAAAAAATCTAGTACATGCACATGATGGAATACTACTTGACCATTGAAAAGAAGGAAATTTTACCTTTTGCGACAGCATGGATACACCTGGAGATTATGCTAAGTGAAATGAGCCATTTGGTGAAAGACAAATGCCATGTGATCTCACTTATATGTGGAATCTAATGAACAAAATAAAGTGATAAAATAGAAACAGAAGTATAGATACAGAGAACAGACTGTCAGAAGGGAGTGGGGTTGGGGGGCTAGATGAAAAGATGAAGGGATTAAGAAAAAATTGTATGTATAAACACATAGACCCTGATAACAGTGTGGTGATAGCCAGCGGGAAAGGGGGGTGGCAGGTGGGTGGAGGTGGGTAAGGAAAGGGAAAATGGTGCAGAAGAGAAACTTTGGGGCAATGGGCACACAGTGCAGTGTGTAGATGATGTTTTATTGAATTGTACACTTGAAACCTGTATGGTTTATCAACTGATGTCACCCCAATACTCAGTTTTTTAAAAAGCTTGAAAACAGGTGAAAGTATCACCATCATGGATTTTTTTTTTGCAGGTTTTGCTCTACTCAATGGTGCTGCTCTCAAGGAGAGTAAGTTAGTCACCTCCCAAAAAATAAAACCTGGACTATCTCCTTTTGAATTTCAAAATTTTAAAGTCAATTTGTGTGCTGTGGAGAAACATTGTGGTGTAACGTAAAGATGAGATGGTTTTACCTTTTGGTACAAACAAGCTTGAAATAAGGCAGATGAGAAATTGTGTCTAATAGTGACAATGGACACAATATTTGTTTTACTAGTGAGATTTTAAATGATTTCATAATGTTCTCTATTTCCTCACTGAGAGGGGAAAGGAAAACTCAGTCCTGCCCATGGACTGCTTCTCCACAGCGCTCGGCTGCTCCCTCTGAGCTTGCTGTTCATCCTTTTCATCAGCAATGGCCGGTTCTTGCAGCTCTTTTCTCTGCCTGCTTCCTCCCTGTAAAACTTCTGTGATACATAGGCCTCTTTTTATTGTGTCCTGTCTTGCTCTCCTTTAGAACAAGCTAGCAAGCAGGGTTTCTGCTTCTACAACTCTCTTAGAAGCTTTGAGTTTCCTGTGAATTTTATTGGGGTTCATGGCATTAGAAAACCACTCTTACAAATTGATTTGGGATAAGATCTTCATCTCAAGCTTCCTATTGGAAGACAGTGTTAAAGATCCCACGATCCTTAAAGGAATTTGAGAATCACCTGAAATCTTCCTGAGATGTTAAGAGTTTTCCATTCTTGGCTTCATCCTTAGACCGTGTTTTCCTGGAACCACCTGGATTTGATCTTAGCCCAGAAGCCTGTTCTTTATTTTAGCATTACTTGACAGTCAGACATGTGGGAGAAGCTATCAACCAGAAATGGCTATTTGAAAACAATAAGTCCTGGTTCTTTTATACTTGTTTTTAAAAGATTTTATTTATTTACTTTTAGAGAGAGGGAATGGAGGGAAAAAGAGAGGGAGAGAAACATCAGTGTATGAGAGATACATCTCTCAGTTGCCTCTCACACGCCCCCAACTGGGGACCTGGCCCACAATCCAGGCATGTGCCCTGACTGGGAATCAAACCTGCAAGCTTTCAGTTCACAGGCTGGCACTCAATCCACTGGGCCATATCAACCAGGGCTAATAGTCTTTCTTTAGCATAACTTCTGTTATCGATTTTACTTTCAGCAGCTTCATGACAAGAGTCCCCTTCCATCCAGGTTTCAAGGGACTTTCGCTCACTGGCCTGGCAGCCCTTGCTGTCAGCCTCTTCAGGGGCCATCAGGCTTCCACTAACCATCTGTAGGAAACCCTTTTGGTTTTTATTTTCATGCTTCTGCACATTATTTCAGGTTGTACCTGCCTCTTGTTTCAAGGTACTCCTACATGTGCATGGTGTTTTGTTTTTGTGTTGTAGGTTTTTGTTTTTGTTTTTTAGTGGAAGCATTCTTTTTAATATCAGTATCTGTGCCAGTTACTTATTGCTGCTTAATAAACCACCTCCAAACCTACTGGCTCAAAACAGCATTTATCTTGTTCACAAATCTGCAGGTAGGGCAGGCTCAGTGAGGCCAGCTCATTTCTTTACCACTTGCCATCAGCTGGGATGACTTGAACCTGGGAACTAGACTCATCTTGTTCATTCACACGTTTGTCAGTTGCAGCAGGCTCTTGATTGGGATGGTAGCTGGGGCAGTCCCAGCTGGAACACCCGTACGAGGACTGACTGTGTGTGGCCTGGGCTGCTGCATGCCTGACAGCATGGCTGGGTTCTCAGGGTGAGCTTTCCCGGAGAGAGAAAGTCAGATGGAAGCTGTATCACCCAAACACGGACGTCACCCAGCAGTTCCACCATATTCCATTCTCCAGGAACTGGTTACTTACTAAGGCCAGCACCTGTTTGATGGGAGGTGTGCCAAAGAATCTGTAGACATGTTTTAAAAACTCCTATCACTCACCTTTTCTTATCAAATAAAGGAAAGTAGTATAGGGTTAGCCAAAAAGTTTATTTGGTTTTTTTCCATAAGATGGCTCTAGTAGTGCTTAGTTGTCTTAACTTCATTCGAAACAACTTTGTTAGATTTAATTGTGACAGCTGCCATATAAGCAGGCATTTTTTAAAAAACTTATCAAAATTGGTGAATTTTTGTGTAGCCATTTTAATATTGAAGATGGAAGAAACAACATTTTCAGCATATTATGCTCTATTATTTCAAGAAGGGTGAAAATGCAACAAATGCAAAAAAAAAAAAAAGACTTAATGTGAAAAGTGGTTTGCAAACTTTGATGCTGGAGATTCCTCTCTGGATGATGTTCCATGGTCAGATAGACCAGCTGAAGTTGATAGCAGTCAAATCGAGACATTGGGAACAATCAATGTTATATACCACATGGCAGATATCCAACTTACTCAATATTCCAAATCAATAAAGTTATTGGTGAAAATGAAAACTACTCATATGTCTTTTATTTTATATGAAAAAATAAATGAACTTTCCAACCAACCCAATATTTTTCAAGTCAGTATGATGGAATTTCCAGCAAGTTTTTGTTTAGCACATTCTCTTATTTTGTGGGAAGTAACAAAGAATTATGAGATAGTACTACTGAATTAAGCCTGTTGTTGTTATTGTTTTAAAAAATGTATAGCTCATCTCACTAAACTTTTATAGTGGAAGATATGATTTCTCCTTAACCCTAGAAGTCATTTCTTCTTGGAATGCAATTCAAATTAGCATTAAACATTTATAGTTCATTACAGGTGTATGGCATTAGAATCTATATAACATGCATTAATTAGACTATTATTTTTGAAGTTTTATCTTGGGAGGCATTTATTGACTTAGGCCTAAATAAAATAACTCAATATGATATCCCTAAAACTCCTTTAAAAGTTATGTTGGGAAAGAGGTAAGAAACTTTCTGCTTGGAGGTGACTTGTCATTTTGTGGCGGAAGACATGAAAACAGTCATAGAAAAAAGTAAAAATCAAGTGCAGACGTTGTATGGCAAAGATGATGACATTAAATATATTTTTTGTGATTCCTGGTCTTTTTAACTTTGTTCTGATTATGAGAAATTAAAAATTTCACATTATAAATCTCTGCTACAGTGCCTATAACATTTTATTGCAACTGAATTTGTTTCAAAATCTGATACTTGTGTTGAGTTAGACTGTCCTCAGTCTGCACCTTCATAACCAAACTGTATTATTTTATTTATACAGAATGATGATCTTACAGCAAAACTGGAAGCTGCGTCTTCAAAATGTCAACATCTGGATGAAAAAAATAAATGTCTTCAACAGGAGTTACTATCTATGAAAGCATTACAAAAGAAATGTGAAAAACTAAAGAATGAAAAGAAGAAGTGGAAACAAGAAGGAATAAACCTCAAAACACATATGGAAATGAATATGGTAGAATTCCGTGAATTAGAACAGTATAAGCGGAAGGTTGAAGAAAGAGCAAGACAGGATATAGAAGAAAAATTAGAAGAAGTCAATCTATTTTTACAGGTTAATGTATTGATCTTTAATTCATTTCACTGCAGGTTACATTTTGGAAATATACATTGTATATCTTTCCTCTACTTAATAGCAGTTAGTTTTGTAAATTTAAGGAAGGAAGGTAGAATGTTTCTGTCTTTCAGTATTTCCAATTTCCATCACTGTTATCACTGAAATGATCTTTCAGAATATTCTTACTAGAGGATCATTTTATTTTAAAGACCAGTTCATATAAAACAAGAATATTAGGAATAAAAATAAATTAATTACAATTTTAAAATTATATAATTATTAATTTATATTCAATTTTTTAAAATTTTAAATTGATTTTGCTATTCTTTGAATTATCAGAATCCATGAGCACTAATAAAGATGTAAGTTTATTTTTATAATTTATAATTCAGTTGACATTGCTAATAAACATTTTAAATTTTTTTGTATTTAAAGTTGCTTTCTGAATCATTGATTCATAACTAAGGAAAACAAATGTAATTGTTCAGATTATACTTATTTTAAAAATGTATCCTTCTTATTTGCTTTAGACACAAGCAGCGTCTCAAGAAAACCTGGAGCAGTTAAGAGAGAATCACAACGCTGCAATGAGAAGTCAGCTGGAACTTAGAATTAAAGATCTGGAGTCTGAACTCACTAAAATAAAAATTTCTCAAAATTCTAAAGAAATAAATTTGGAAAAATATAAGCAACTCTATCTGGAAGAAATAGAAAGTAGAAAGTCATTAGCAAATATACTAAACAAGTAAGTCAAAACACAGAATCAGAGAAAACAAATTTACCACATTAATTCATTTCAAAAGAATAATTTTTATGCAACCAGGTTCATGAGATGAGTAGAAAGTGGATGCTAACTAAGTAGTGTCATGTGGGAAATGATAATAGTGAATGAACTTATCTTTCAAGTGTTCGCCCAGGACAGTTTGCATCTCCCCCGGTTTTGGTTTTACGTGACTGTTTTCTTCCCCATTTTCATATAGTCAACCTGATCTACTAGTCTTTAAGCTGCTTTTGAAGCTTTATAATTTAGACAGTGGTTTAATTATAAAAGTTCTTGTTTCAATCCCCTAAAATAGAAATATTAATGAGTTTAATTATTTTTTGGAAGATATCAACTTAGACCCAAAGGGTTGAGTACTGGGCACATTCTGGCACTTGGTAAATTTACTTTCTTGATTGTGATCTTTGTTATCATCATCAGAGGGCACCTTGAGACAAACTATCTTCTCTGCATGAAGACATGGGAGTTCCATAGGGAAAGGTTAACATAGGGGTGAAGGGCAGTAAAATTGACAAAATGGCTAAAAATAATCAGGTGGTCTGTGGAGGGGGTGTGTGGCAGATGGAAGGGGCAGATCCCACCTCCAGTGCCTTGGTAACGAGGTTGTAATTGCCTCTGGTGCTGTTTCAGTTCACTTTGATCACCAACTAGGAATCTTGTTCCCTTAGAGATTGTTGCTCTAAATTAAGCCTGGTTCCAAGTAGTTAAAATATCCAAGGTAATGAGTGTATTGTACAAGAGTGGTGAAAGCAAATGCATGACAGTGTCTATGAAGGATTTTTTTAAATCTCTAAACTGGTTTACTAAATATGTCCAGGGGCATCCTCAAGAATCTTGTAAGTACAGCCCTTCCAGAAGGCAGCAAGCATCACCTCATAAGAGCATCACTGAGAGCCAGTCCTCTCCCCTCCCTGCTGTGAATTACTCCATCATCACCAGGAACCTCCCCACCCCAGAATCACATGGACTTCTTTAGAACAGTTTAGAACCTCTACTTGTATCTGTAGGCCTGCTTTGACACATTATCAGTGTTACAATGCTGTTCAGTGGGAAATTCCATTTACTGTTGAGGCAACGTTAAAAAATGCGTGTCACTGAGGGAAAAATGCAATACTAAGCATTTTTTTTTCCAATCTTCACAGGACTAACGAGAGGCTAGCAGAGCTCAACACTGAACTTCTCCTGCAGAAACAGCAGAACAGATCTTTACTCAGCACTCTTCATCCAAAGCCAGGCCTGGAGATGCCTTGTGTTGGAAATCTTAACAGTAGTTTGGTGCTCTATGGAAACTTTACTCCAAGGGAAAACTTGGTGGTTCCTACCTCAAGGCCACAGACTTCAAGTAGGAGCATGGAGACTTACTTGATCAAGGTGAGTTATATTATCTTTTTTCTCTTGGGCTTCAGATCTCTGATATAATTTTAGTGTTTAATTTGTTGAAATTCCAAGTTGTTTCATTGGCTAATGCACACTAATAAAAGCTTAATATTTGTGCTAATATAGAAAAGACACACATTTTACAATCTTTTTTAAGTGCCCAGATCTCTCATTTTAAAGAGATGCCTGTTATTAACTTTACCCAACAAATGTAACAAAACTGATGCATTTTAAATTTTTTGACAAGTTACATATAATCTCAATTTTGGAAATTCAATATTATTACCTAATAACCAGTGATGTTCTTGGAGATGCTCTGGCTTACTTTCTAATGGATTTTAGATTGGTGATGGTTCGTAACAATTTTAAAGTTTTGCTGTGCCCTGATTTCCCACCCCTAAGCATAAGGGAGTGATTGACATCCAAGCAGCTAACCATATGTGCATTTTTGTTATTTAAATGAAACTGAGATAAATCCTTTTTATGAATCAAATAATCTTGTAATGCGAAAATAATTAATTTCTGTAAGTGAAAATTTTTGTCATTTTGTTACGTGAAAGAACATTCTTAATTGCTATTTTACTAACAGCATTTTAATTCCAGTATTTATACAATGTCTTGCTGAGGAATTATCCATTTTCTAAATTGTTAAATTAGGCAAATATTCAAATTTTTAATATTTTAAATTTATTTTTTTACTATTTGAGTTTTTTAAGTGAAGTTCACTTATGTCTGTATATCTTGCCAGCACTTGAATTACTGATGACTAAGATGGCAATGGTAGGGAGTCTTGAAATAGCAACTAGTTTTCATTGTGTATCATTGTTATTAAAATATCCATTCTTTATCTTATTTATTCAGTTCTTCAGCCCCAGAATTTGTCTATTTATAGTTTTCATCTCTTTGGTAAATTACTCCTGTTCACTAATTTTATTTCTGAGTTCACTGACCTGCCTTTTTCAGTTTTCTTGTATCTTGTTGAGTTTCTTCAATGACTGCTATTTTGATTTCTCCATGATTTACATCACAAGTTTTTGCTACTTTGAGTTTCTTTCTGGAGAATTGTCCTTTTCTCTCTGTGTTACTCTTCCTTCCCCTGGTGGTCCAGGCTGCTTGACAAGTCAACCCTCTGCTGGCTTGTTTGAAGTAGCGCACACTTTTCTTACCAAGAACATTTTGCTTTTCACAATTCAGCACGTTGATGACTGGAGTTCTTTCTTTTGTTTTCCAGTAGATGGTGCTATAGTGCAGTTTTTGTTTTTTCCTACTGCTGCTACTTAAGCCTCGGCAGGAGTTGGAGGGCTGCCTGGCCTAGGGGGAGGGGATGTGGTGCGTGGTGGCGCGTCCAGGTGTGGAAGGGAGGCCTGGCTGGCCTTGGACATTTGCACATCATTTGCACATCGGAGTGGTGGCCTGGGTGGTGGTGCTGTATCCCATCATCTGGGTCTCTGGGCACCACCACCATGGCAGAGGGATGTGGCCAGTTGAGAGGAACCAGTCTGTGAGCCCACTGAGGTGCTACCTGGATCCCTGTGGTCACTGGCCGTGCTATGCTGTGGCCCGGCAGCTGGGCCTTGTCTCTGCTGCTGCTCCTGGTCTGTGGTGGTGGGAGCATGGCTGCACCTGGGGAGGGATCTGGATTGGGGGGAGGAGGCAGTGGTACTGGGCTGTGGTTTGGGGGCTGCACCCCGACTCCTCCACCGCTATGCTGTTCCTGGGGCTGCAGGATCAGCCTTGTCCTTGGAGAACTGTTCTTAATTGTGTTGTTTTACTCTCTTATACTCCAAATTGCTGATTTGATTCTTAGCTTAATCTACTATCCTGTTGAATCTGTGCAAATTATTCTTCATTTCACTTGGTGTGTCCTTCATCTCTGTCTGGTTCTTTTTTATGGTTTCCATATGCTTTTTTTGCTGTTGTAGTTCTAAGTTCACTGAGCATCCTTATAACCAGTGATTGAGCCCTGCATCTAGTAGGTTGCTTGTCTCATTTGTTTAGTTATTTTTCTGGAGTTTTGTTCTGTCCTTTCATTTGGGCCATGTTTCTTTGTCTCCTTATTTTGGCAGCCTCCCTGTGTTTGTTTCTGTGTATTAGTAGAGCTACTGTATCTCCCAGGCTTGGTAGAGTGGCCTTGTGCAGTAGGTGTTCTGTAGGGTCCAGTGGCACAACCTCCCCACTCACACAAGCTTGGCTGGCACTCCAGGAGTGTCCCCTGTGTGGGCTGTGTACACCTCCATTTATAGTTGAGCATTGATTGTTGTTGGTACATCAAAGGGAGGGATTTACCCCCAGGTCATTTGGCTGCAAGGACTGGCTGTGACCATTGACCACTGTGGAGGGTCAGCTATGCAGGGGCCCACCCCACAGAGCAGGACCTACTTACCTGGGGTCTGGTGCCATCTGAGTCTGCCCCTCAAGTGTGTCACTTATGGAATGGTTGGATGTTGCTTCAGTGTGGTCTAGAGCTTTCCAATGGGTGTACTAGCTTTGGGGCCTCCTGGAAGTTGCAGGCCAAGGTCAGCTGCCCCCTGTGTTCTGCCCAGGGCCAACTAGCATGAGCTACAAATTGATCTGCAGATGGCTGCTACTTATGTTGGGCTTGGAGGTGCTTAGGTGAGGACAAAATGCAAACCAAGGCTAGCTGCCGCTAGTGCTAGGTTGGGGCCCCTTAGTGAGAGGTATAGGGCACACTAAGGCTGGATGCTACTTGTTTGCAATATTTTGGGAAAGTCAAAAGCATGAGCAAGACAGGCCATTTGCACAAAAAAGCCACTAGAGACAACTTAAGTGGGCCCACTGGTTGGGTGGGATGGGGTCTCAGGGAATCACCCGGGCAGAGCAAACACTGTGAGTCTGTCTGATTGGTAGAGACTCAGATATTGTGCCTACCTACCTGCTCTGTAGTGGGTCAGGGTCTCAGAAAGGGAGCAATGGCCTCTGCTAGCACTTCTGTCTGGCAGAAAACTGCCCTGGCCCCCAGCTGTTGTCCAGATGCCATACAACTCAGTTCCTCCCTGGATATCTCTTTTGCTTTTTGAGCTGCTGTCCCCATATTGGAGCTCAAAGGGAGTGAGTCCAAGAAAGCCTGTGTGTGGGCCCTTTAAGGGGAATGTGCAGGACTCCAAAAATCCTCTGTCTCACTCAGCCTCAATCCCCACCGCTTTTCACAGTCGGAAGCTGTGGGGACTTCTCTTCCTGGCACTGGAATCCTGGACTGGGGGACATGTTATGGGGCTGGAACCCCTCACTTCTCAGGATATCTGCAACCAAAATATCCCTCCTGATATCTACCCACCATACATGGGCGTGGAACCAGCCCATTCTGCGTCTCTGCCCCCCTTCCAGTCTCAGTGTGGCTTCTTTAAATCCCTCATTGTAGCACTTCCATTCAGCTAGATTTCAGGCAGTTCTGAGTGCTGGTTGTTCTGTGATTTAGTGGTAACTTTGATATGGTTGTGGATGTGAGTGATGCATTTACCTACATTGCCATCTTGACCAGAAGTCCCTGATTAAACTTTTATAAAGGGCAGTTTTACTAACAATTGCAAAGTAATGCATTCCATGTAAAATATGACTTGACTTGTTTAAACTTCTTTATACCAATAAGATCAGACATCACTTTTCTGAAGTCATGTTTATTCAATAGATCAATATCAATTGTACTTTTTATCAGATTAATCTAAGTGGCATTTATATGTCTATGTTCTCTATTATCTAAAAGTTAGTGGAAATTGATTTTATTTATGTGATTATTTATTTATTTATTTCCACAATTCCCAAGTTAGGTCTAGTCTCTAAAATTGTTACACAGTCCTGAGCAGTGTGGCTAAGTTGGTTGAGTGTCCTCCAACAAACTGAAAAAGTTCACTGGTTCAATTTCCAGTCGGGGCACATGCCTGGCTTGTGGGTTCCATCCCTGGTCAGGGCACGTGCAAGAGGCAACCAAGTGATGTTTCTCTCTCATATTTTCTCTCCTTCCCTTTCTCTCTCCTTTCTCCCATGTCTAAAAATAAATAAATGAAATCTCATAAAAATAAATAAAAGTTGAATAAAATTATTAAAGGATATATTTCATAAGCTATATGTTATTCCTATGATAATGTCTCTTATTTAACTTCAATACTATATATAATATTTGACTTATTTCAGATGCGGCAGGAGTTTGAAAAAACTCTAACTAGAGAACTAAAAGAAGGTATGTTGCCATGTTTTATTAATTACATTTTGATATCATTGATTTTTGAAACAATCTGAATAGTAAACAGCATCCATTTCCATGTTTGAGTAATAGATACTGTATTAAATATTTTCTCACAGGGAATGAAAAATGTGAACACATAAATATTCATAGAGAAGAATATACTTATTTGCATTTATTCCTCATGCTCCATAGCTTTTTAAAAATCTCCTGTGTCCATGTATCTCCTTTCATTTCTGGCTTTCCCCTTCCTTTCCTCCACCATACCTGCAGATCTGTCAGCCTGCACGCTGAAATTCTAGTCAGAAAACTGGACTTCACCCACTTCTCATGTTTTTGCTAGTGAGGTCAGGCCAAGTAGCCTGGCTCACCTAGTAATACTCAGTCAAGCAGTTACAGTTTGTATAGTAGTCACTGAGGGGCAACATTTAAATCTCCAGTCATTGAATTTGTCATTGGTTTACCTTTGACCCTCTGAAAAAACTTCAGATCCCTTTGCTTGGAGTAAAGACGTTGAATTCATTTAGTTCTAGCCAAACAATTCAGCCTTATCTCTAGATGCCACCCACCCCACTCTGCCCCTTTGCTCTAGCATCTAGCCAAACTAGACTACTTCTAATTCCACAAGTGTTCTTCCTCACCTCTAGTCTGGGCATCTGCTTCATTGTCTATCTGGCATACTCTTTCCTTGTCCTTCAGGTACCAACTCACATATGTCTCACCTCCATCAAAGAGCTGACATTACTGACATAAAACTGGGATGTCCCTTCTGTGTGCTCCAATACTGCCCTGTTAATATTAGTCATTGTATCTATGACTCTGAGTGGAAACCGCCTGCTCATCTTTTATAGTGTACAATTGCCCAGGGGTGGCCAGTGTCATATTCACCCTGTAACTCCAGTGCTTGTCATGCTCCCTTAGCGCATGGTTGTTGAACAAATGAATGATGAACAAGAAAACCAGAAGCTCTGATACGCAGCCAGAGCAGCAGATAACTCAGTGTGCAGCCGTGGGCAGACTGTGTTCCATAGTCATCTCATGTGTGTGTGTTGTAGTCATGCATAGATGTTTTCATTCCTCACACTTACACCTATTTGTATTTTAGATAAAGAATATAATTCTACCTTTTTCTTTCCAGATGCTGCTGAATTTGAAGCTGAAACCTATACAGCTTGTCCTGTAGCATCAACTGATCAGGCAAATTCATGTCAGGATCTCCTTTTGAAAACATCACGAGAATATGCACAGATTTTGCAGAAAAATTATATGATCTGAAATATAAATAGTACTTTATGTACTTGACTATTTACATAATATTTTAGTTATTTTCCACTAAACCCCTTGATATGTGAAATCTTTATTATAGAAAAATATTTTGGGATCACATGTGTATGATGAAAATTTCTGAATTATTTTAAACTGTTACTTGGCATCTAAGTTTTAAACAGATTTTGTAAATAAAAGCCAGCACTGTTGAATTTTACATACTCAAACTGACTAAATACCAGCTATTTAAACAACACCCAAACAACCAGGTGGTTATTCATACTTTAGTGGTATTAATTGATAGCTTTTTGTATTTTTTAATTTTATCACTATATTAGGTTCTAAAGATTTAGACAGCATTTTGATATCTGCTGGTATGGCTACCATCAGTGTTTGGGTGTATTACAATTGTTGTAGTGCCATAAAACTTTTCATATATAGCATATGATACATAATACATCATATATAATATATTAACCATTTGTAAATTGCAGACATGATGTCTCTTTATTCCTAAGTACTTTAGTGTGTATTTCTTAAGAAAAAAGAACTGTGGTATAATTATCAAAATCAGGAAGTTAAAACTCGTTCAGTGTTACTGTTTAGCTTGGACATTATTTGACGCGTGCTCACCGACCTGCAGTGAGCACGGAACGCTGGGGATGGCTTGTTGAACCACGAGAAAAACATGCACAGAGACAACCAGGTCCTGTGGGGAAATAGGAAAGGAACAGCTACCCTCTCTAGTAGGGAGCTCCTCTTCTCCATTCCCAAGCAGATTTTTATTGAGAATACAGACTTAGTTTGTGGATTCCCAGTCTGGCAGAAAAGATCAAAAGAAGTAGGTGACTTACAAAGGTGCAGACAGAAGCCCTGCTGTGATTTTGGGCAGAGATTGGAGTTTTAACATTTGAAAGGAGTAACAGGGCTCAAAGGGCAGTTTTGGTTTCCTGTCTGTGCCTTCAAATTCTAATCTAATAACATCCTCCAGCAAACAGATCTCACAGGATCTTGCATATTCTATGTCCCAGGCCTGATTACCCCGGAGGTCCACTGTTTCTGGTCTGGGCTGCACCACCCCTGCTATTTCCACAGGCCTGAGTTAACAGAGAAGACAAAGGCAGCCAGGAAACTTGGATTACTCACTTCTAAGAACAAGAACTCAGGCTTTGACAAAGCCAAGGGGGCAGGGGTTGATGTCCATCACCCCTTCATTTCCACAGCCCCGAGTCTATTCCCAGAAGCCTCCATGTGATCATGCCTGTCTTAGGCGATTCCCTCCATGGGAAATCTTACCTGTCTTTGGCTAACTGATCAAGCTTAGGAGGTTTAGGCACAGAACAGGCAGCGTTCATGCCAGGGAAATAAGTTTTGTCTCCCTAGTGGCTCCTGGTCCAGAGGTGTCTCACTCAGCCTAAGTCACGGGGGATTACAGTTTCCTGAGACCAGGCAGGGCAGTCCCCAACACTTACATTTTTTCTGTTGTCTCAACAATATCCTTTATAGTCAGAAAATCTAAGATGACATGTTGTATCCAGTTGTGCTGTTTCCTGAGTATCCTTCAATCTGAGATAGTACTTTAGGCTTCCTGTGCTGTTCACAGTGAAACCAGAAAAGCTGGCATTCATGCTGCCTATCACTACCGGAACCAATAAGTAGAGACAAGGATCGAATCTTTATGGGTCCTTTATTCAGCTGCCAGCCATCTGAGAAGATGGCCTGTCATATACCCTAAAAACCATCTTAACATCTCATCTCAAGATGACCTTTTTATAAGGATAAGAAATGGGTAGGTAAGGGATTTGGAAAAAGGTTAATCAGATAATAGTGGCAGCATCTTCCTAGTATTTCTTTGTCTGCTGATGAACAATTCTTTGTCTGCATTATGGACATTCTCTCCCTGGAACAGAACAGCTCAGATACCATCCCCATCATCTGCAGAACCCCTGGGACACAAAAGTTGAATTGCTTATTCACCCAGAGTCGGGTAGGTCAAGCATTCCAGTTCCTGGAACAACAGTTTTCCACATGCACTAATCACTTAAGCTTATCATCTATAAGTCAAGCTAAAATCTTTTAACTCTTGAATTCCCCTCTCAATTGCATTTATGTTTTGAAGACTGGGCCAGTTATGCCATTTGGTCATGAATGCCACACAAGTGATGCTGAGTTCTTCCCAGGACAGCAAATCTGGAGGCACACGTTCAGTTCCATTACTGGCAATGTTGACTTTGGTCACGTGGTCAAGAAGTGTCTGCTAGGTTTGTCCACAGTAAAATTATATTTACCTTTTACATTGTACAAATATCTTGTGTAGAGGAACTTTTTGGCTAACCCAACGTTTGGTTACTCTTCAAAATTTCATCCACTACATTTAGCATCCATTGGTGATTGCTTGAATCAATTATTATGTTGGTTGTTAAATGATGATATTCTTACTCTGCCATTCCCTCTACATTAATAAATACATAAAGCCAAACCAAACAAACAAATGAAGGAGATGGAAAAACTTATTTTGGTGCTTAATTTCCCCCAGATTTGGCCAATGATAGCCATTGCAAGCTGGCTTCCTGTCTCTTTAACCCGCCCCCATTGCCCTTCCTTACTGTCTGGGCAACAAGATGTTCCAAGTTCATCCTGTAGTTCTCTGCCCCAGCTCTGGAATCAGCCATTTTTCATAAAAGCCCTGATTCCTTTGTGGGGAGGGTGCTGTTTAGAAACCAAGATGCGAAACTAGTTGTGGTGGGTGTGCCTATTGTGTTGGGGTTGTCATTGCTCATAGACTGTTAGAGTGAGCAGCACGGAGTCACATGTGTGTACACAGATACACATACATACATGCAAGCACTGATCTGTAGTTTTTGTGTCAAAATAGGTTGAAAAGCCAGAGTTCACACCAATACTTTCAATCCAATCCCACATGGTTCATTCTTGTGTTTTCCTTTCCATTTTTAACTCTTTCCTGACAGTAAGCTGGCTCCCATCATCAGTATCTCTGATTACTCATCCAATATTCTTGTTTGTAACCCGTTTCTGCCCCAACGCACATGTCCTCCTCACTTGCACTTGGATTGCAGCACCCCACATTGGTCCCCTCTGCTGTTTCTCCCAAGGGTCTGCCCTCTGTACCCCATCCTCTCCCACACACTGGTGCCAGGCTACCTTCTCTACAGATGACTTACACCCATGAGGTTCTGAAAACCCAAGCTGGGCTGTTCTCCTGCCCCTGTATGGAGGCCTCCTGACCTTGTTCAGTCTTTGATCTCTCATCCCATGTTGTCCACCTTTCAGGGATGCTCTGACGTGAGCTCCAACACTGTGCAGTGGGTCCCTTTCAGACATACACCTGCCTCGCTCCATCAGGCTCCAGCACCTCCCTGTGAGACACCACACACCTCCCTGTTTCTGTCCTCGTGCCTTTGAACTCAAATGTCTGGGAAGAGAAAGAAGAAAGTGGGAAAGGGCTTCATATAGCTTTTATAATCAACTTGTCAAGCTCTACAAATACACAGCAAGGATTTTGATTAGACCTGCACTCTCTAAAATAATTATGGAGAAAAGACATAATAATTGAGTTTTTGAAACTATTTAATAGTCTGTCTCTTTAACTCTCAGTGTTTAAAATATTTCCCATAGAGGTCTTGCATATATTTTTTAGATTTATTCTCAATTATTTGATACTTTTGATCCTATTATAACTTATTTTAAAAATCAATTTTGGCTGGGTAGCCCAGTTGATTGGAGCATTGCCCAAATGCACCAGGATTGTGGGTTCAATCCCCAATCAGAGCACTTAGAGGAATCAACCAATGAATGCATAAATAAGTGGTACAACAAAATTGATGTGTCTCTCACAGTTCTGGAGTGTGGGAAGTCCAAGATGAAGGCACAGGCAGGTTCAGTGTCTAGAGAGGGCCCACTTCCTTGTTTGTGGAGACCAGTCCTGCTGTGGCACATGGCAGGGGGTTAAGGGCTTGTTTTATAAGGGTATGAATCCCATTCATGACAGGTCCATCCTCATGATCCAGTCATCTCCCAAATGCCCCATTTCCAAATGCTATCACATTGAGCATTAGAATTTAACGAAAATTCGGGTAGGGAGAGGACATAAGCATTCAATGAATAGCAAGGTCATTCAAAGTTCTTGGCCATGTTGGCTTACTCCCTATTACTGCTTACTTTATAAGGCTGGTAAGAAGAATCTCTCACTTCAGGGAGGGCTCAGTCTTCTTTTAAGGGGATTCACCTGATTAGATCAGGCTCCCTCTTAGGTTCCCATCGTGTCTGGTAAACTGGAGACCAGTGATCCTTGCAGGCATGTGACTCAGACCTTACCTGAGTATATTAGGATAGGCTAAGGTATGCTGCATTAACAAGCCAAATCTCAGGAACTAAACACACCAAAAGCTTATTTCTAGCTCACGCTGTAACAGAGTGATGCGGGGCCGGGGGCTCTATTTATTGCCTTCATTCCATCACCCAAGCTGACAGAACAGCCATGATCTAGAAAATTGGTGGTCATTCTGGTGAAGGGAAAGAATGTGTGACAAATCTCTCACTGGCTTATAAAGCTTTCACCAGCAAGTAATGCATGTCACTCCTATGTCTTATTGACCAAAGCAAGTCACATGGCCATGCCTCATTGGGAGAGGACAGAGAAATGGTTAACACTCATGACTCCCATTCTGAGCAGGTAGTGACATTTTCACTCGGGCCGATACGGTTTTCATGGAAGAGGTAGTCACAACCACAGAGCCAGTTTGTGCCCAGGTGGCCAGACGGGAACAGGTGTTTTTTCTTCTTCCTTTTTTTTTTAAGTGAGAAAAGAAGGTCTATGAATGAGAAAGCTTTTTTTTTTATTGTGAAAGTCTTTAGAAAAACTTGAACCATTAAAAATACATTCTAAAGAATAGCTAAAGAAAACAAAGGATGCCAGATTTCTTGTACAAAAAACACATTCAACAACCATCTCAGGTCCTATAATTAACAGGAGGATTATGGGACCACTGAGCAGAACACAGCTGAATCAGGAATTCTCAGCTCTGTTGCTATATGGTTTCTGGAGTATTTAAGGCATTTGAAGAGAAAGACTCCTCATATAGTAACATTTAAGCCATGTAGAAGCAAGGATGGATATTTTCCAAAGAAGCTGAGAGCATTTGTCACCAGAAGATCTCCTCTGCAGAAAATATTCAAGGAGGTTATTCTGAAACAAAGAACAAAATGTCCCAAAACTATGAGTAAGATCACCAACAAACTTACAGTGTAAACAGGGATAATTTGTGACAACAAAAACATAAAAGGGGGTGTAAAGTCATGAATTTGCCAAAAAAGATGGAGATCAAATGCAGTCAAAAGAAAAAGGACAACTGTATATATAAAACTTTCTTTTTCATAAACCTAATGGTAACCACACACACACAAAAAAAACTGAGACACATAACTTAAAAAAAGAGGAAACAGAGGAAGAAAGTATGGAATACCACCAAACAA